TGATCTGAAATACTGTAAAAACTACAGCAAAACTTCCATTTTCAAGATGAGCAAAACAGCTACAATGATTACGAAGAATCGATAGGTAGGATAGCTGCAATCTGTAATCTGATACGACAAATGTCTACTTCTAAACCCAAATTCTGAACTGGTGGGTAAAAAAATTGGTTTCATTTCCATCAGGCACCCACAGATCACAGTGAATCCTGTGAAATTTCATTGGCTTCAGCAAATCCATATTGTGAAATGTTTCTTACCTTGTGCAATGTTCCAAATTCTTACACATTATGATAATCAGGGGGCCAGGAATAAAATCTGGGAATATAAATTAACACTGCATTATTTATCTGCAGGCATTTCATGTCTCTCTGTGCTAAGTGCTTTACAAAAGAATGAAAAAAAGCATACAGGCCAAGGCTAGATACAAGACGGAAATTTTATCTTTTTAAACATAATACCAGAGACATGACTTGTAGGTTTGATAGCATTCAAAACTCTTCACCCTTACAACTACTTTATTACACCAACTTGGGGCTTTTGCAGGAAGCAATGAATTTTGGACACTATAATTTTTTTTTCCATAATGACAGATAATAAATTTGATATTTTAAATATTTAGATTATCCAGATAAAATTTTATCCAGGTAGTTCCATACCAGGCACTTTAAAAAATCTGAGGTTCTATCGGATAAAACTTGTGCTTTGCCTTGGCATCAAAATGTTTTTACATTAGCATCATGACAGAACACACTAATGCCCTTTCTCATCTTTATTCAGAGCATGTGTTATACTGCTTAATGATCATCCAAAACCCCACAGTTAGCTCTATTTGAATGATGCCGGTATGCATGATGGTTTAACACAACCTTTAGCTATCCTTTAGGCCAAAGGACAGTATGTAAATGAAAGAGGTCATCTCTTTAGGAATACTGCAGCTGTCAACAGAAAAGGAAAATACTTTATACAGAACCTGAAAATTTATTGATTTTTTAAATCTAAGAAGTTACATATTTCACTTACTGCTGTTGCTCAATGAAAATAAAAAGGAATTCTTGTAGAAAAGACTTGCCCATAAATGAGACAGCTGAGCAGAAAGAGTTGTGTGCCTATGAATTATAGTTCCAGACTGCTTATACTCTGCCTTAAAGCTGTGTATTCTTTCTCTGTACTTGTGCAATGCATTTATATTGGAAGGCCCTCTTAAAACTGGGTGATCTATTGGTTTAGGGAGCTAAAGATTAATTCCAGATGTGGTCATGCTCTTCTAGCCCTTCAAAAAGTAACTACTGCACCATCTGCTTTGTAATAGACAATTTCAAAGAGTGCCAAGGGGAATGTTAAAGACATTGGTCAAACGGCCACATATACCTCACACACAGGAATCCTAGAGGTCATAGTGCCTCAGACAGATTCATATTTTTCCTTTTTCTCCCCATTCTTCCACCATGGAAACCCAAGGAACAACTCTCCTTCCTCCCAAAACAGGAAGGAAATGTTTTCCAGACTATTACCAGTGCTGACATATACAAAGCCAAATTCAGATCTGAATTCAGTGGAATGACTGGAATTCATGGTGACATACCTCTTATACCTGCCCCACTTCTGAATCCTTGTACATTACTCCAAACAGCTTTATTTTTTGTTTAATTAACTCAGTAGCAGGAGGTTAATGCTATACTGACTTCAGATCTGGCTTGTTGCCCAAGACAAATGAAGGGTGCAACAGGTAATGAAGGGTCATTCCAGATCATGATCATTTCTATTTCTGCTGGGTATTTCAGGAAGCTCTAAGCAAAGGAATTGTGTCTGTTCTCCTAAAAACAGTGTTATGCATCAGTATCTACATCTCGGATGTATAACAAAGATGCTTTTGGGTCTAGCACCAAAATAACTTAAATTCCTCACAAAACTGCAGTAAAAGAACTTCTCTGAAGACTTCCTAAGTATAAACCTGAACTTTATAACAGCAACTCATGATTTATACCAAATAGTCCTGAGAAAAGGTCTAAAATGAAAACAAAAGGAAACAGAAAATCTACTAGAGGTTAGACAATCACAATCTTGTGCAGTCACAGTCAGTCACTTTTGCTGCAGTGGCATTAAGTAAATCATTGGTAAAAGAAATAAAGATTAACAGTATGTCTCCAGTTCATTCCTCTTTGGTTTTTCTAGTGCACGCAGTCATGTTTTATACCAATTCTTGTACTAAGTTATTACAAAAATAGCTTAGGATTAGCAGACCAGTGTACCTACTTAAGTTTTGTTGACTTTGCTGTGGTTCTCTCCATCAGCGCAAAAGCAGTGCCTTAGTGTCTGGATACACTCAGGCTAGATCTTCAAGTTCAAAGTGTGCTGCTAGTAAGTAAGAAATAAATTAATAGAAATAACAGCTCCTCACCATTTGCCTCTACTTAGTATTATTAGAATTGAATTTCTCTTAAGCCATGGTCTGTTTGAGTACTGTAAGCGAATTCCATACAGTAGGATTTGAACTTTTTCAGTATTAAACATTATTAAAACAAAGAAAGGTTGGCAGGCAGAATAAGAGATGTCTGCTTTGGTGGGCTTTATCACAGCTTTTAAAATTAAATACACCCAGAAGAAATACACTGTAAGAGGCTAATATACTTACTAGTTTGGGAGGATGCATACACACCTGTTAAATCAAAGGCCCCATGGCTTAGGACAAGATTTAATTCAAAATAATAGACTCAATGGATAACACTTACAACTAGATGTTATACATTTCAGCTACTCACAATTACACTCCAAATCAAAACGTGCAAGAAGAAAATGGTGTTGAGAAGGATCCAAACCAGAAAATATTGTAAGGGAAAATCATGTGGAGCTACCCTGTAGGAATCATAGAGAAGGCATGGTTTTGAAATCCCAGTCTCTACAGAGCTAACATATCTCCTCCAGAGCTACAGAAACTTCTCCCATCTCATCCTATGTAGGTATCTGTACTCCCCAAAAACCCACAGAACAAGCCAAGCCAAGCCAAGCAATTTGAATAAAACCCACTCTTGCAAAGCAAGCAATGTAGCAGTCACACCTCTTGCTAAGGCTGGTGTTCCTGGAAGAAAAGACCTCTAGAATGAAGACATATTTAGAGACAGTTTTGTTTTAGACATTCATATTATACCTCAGCTTAATTCCTGGTGGGTTTTTTTTTGTTTACAAACGTTTAACTTTTTCTCAGTTCTAGAACATGGTTAATAGACTATTGGAGTCACAAATCTTACTCTATTCCTGTGCTTTCTAGACACAAATTCTGCCTTTAACAAATTCTGCTTTTAATTCATGTAATAGAGAGCTGAAGACTGACCCATCCTTTGAAAAATATTCAAGCATTAGCTTAGTTGAGTCATTAGTTAGAGCTCACATAAAATCTAGAAATTCATTGCTAGTAACTTGCCATAGTGGAACTAACTCTAAATTCAACCCTAAATGTACAGATAAATCTTTCAAAGCTCATTGTTCTCTGGGCTGAGAGGCTAATTTGCTCCAGCTGAGCCCAGCACTCACCCACTTCACTCTAAGGACAGACACCTGTGGCACATCTCTTGCACTGGAAAAACATGCCACCCACTTGCTAGCTACTGGCTGGGTCATACACACACCTTGTCAAAGTGATCTATTTCATTTAAGATGTATAGGTCCAAAATTACCCAACCCAGAAAAAAAAGAAAGCAATCATTTTATTCACTTGACACATTCTGTCTCGAGAAGAGTTCCATTTGTAACAGTAGTTAATCATTCACAAACAAAAGAATACATTTCTAAAAAATAACTCATTTGTTCCTCGCAGCAGAGGATTAAGACATGGTGTACTGGACAACTGGTGCAAAATACATGCTCCATGCAGGTAATTGTATTTCTACTGCACATTTTTTGGACAACTTTATCACTTTAACTTTCATTGTCTTTGTACCTCCGAGGCAAGAAATATTACAATAAAAGGTCTGTTTCCTTTCTTGGCCATCTTTTGAAATGACTGGATAGTAATTCCTTATTTGAGGTTTGTTTTTTGGGGGTGGTTTTTTTGTTATTTGGTTTTGTTTGGGTTTTTTTTCTGACAGTGTTGCATTCAGCTAGGATGGATGTTTTCCACCTGCCCAAATCGCAATTACCACCCCCAAACTTCTAGGCTGGTAACGACTGCGGGGCTCACCCTGGTTCGCTGACTGGAGGAGCTCATCTTTCATTGCTCAGAGGTTACAAGTGTTGCCAGGCAAACAGCACTGTAGACATAACCCTGCCCACCTACAAGGACATGGTTTTGGGGCACAGTTGTGCCCTAAGAAACAACTGCTGGGGATGTCTCTGCAGCTTCTGCCCGATACTCCGCACTGCTTTCCCCTCCTCCCTGGCCCCAACCTGCAAGAAGTTTGCCAGCCTTCTTTCACCGTGCTCCTTCCACACAGGCAACTGCTTAACTGGGGCAGTTGTCCACAGGGAGGGGGATACCAGGGAAATCTCTGTGCTGAAACAGGACCTTTCCCAGCAATCCTGTACCAGCACGCTGAGGGGTCGTTGTCTTTTATGCCCTTTCGTTATACCTTCTATGTGTCTACGCAGTGGAAGGCTATAATGCACGCCGGGCTGCAAATGCGTAACGTTTGCAATCACTTCCAATCCCCACGCACTCCTGGGGGCTGAGCCCATGTGAAAATCCGGCTTTTGAGGTGCTGTCCCCAGAAATTACAGGCTGCATTCGGGGGGCGAAGCCACGGTCTCCCACCCCTTAGTCCCCCCCACCACCTTCCGATGGCCGCCTGCCACCTCCGTTATCCACCTGTGCGGGGGAAAAGGCCCCAGAGCCGGGCTGCGACAGGCCGCTCGGTCCGGCCCGGCCCGGCCCGGCCCGCCCTGGCCTGGCCTGGCCTGGCCTGGCCTGGCCTGCCCCGACCCGCCCCGACCCTGCCTAACAGCCCCCGGTCGCGGCCTCACCGCTAGGCCCAGCCCGGCCTAGCAGCGCGGAGCGGGACCAGGCCGCAGGGGGCGGTGCGGGCCCGGCGCCTCTCCTCCGGGCGCAGGCGCCACCGTGAGCCCGTGGCGGAGGGCTGCCCGCCCCGGGGACGGCGGCTCCATGAGCTGCCAGGTAGGTGCAGCCTGGGGAGCGGGCCCCGGCTAGAGGCGAGGCGGGTGGCGGGGTTCCCTCAGCCCCTCTCCTCGGCGGGCAGAGGCGCCGGGCGGGCGAGGCCTGGGCGGCGGGGGAGCGGGACACGGATCCGCGCTCACTTACCCCCCTGCCCCTTTCCCCGCTCCCCTGACAGGGGAGGCAGGAGGAAGGCGGCAGAGCCGGTCGGCGTGAGGCCAGGGAGAGCTTTCCCTCACGCCGGTTTGGTTTCGGTTGTGTGCGGTGGTGTTTTCGGGGAAGTTAAACGTGCCGTAGCGGGTTTTTCCTCTCAGTCGGCCCCGCTCCCCTGACGGGCGTCTGTTCCCCGAGCAGGTCTCGGTGCTGTATTTCGCCCGCAGCGCGGAGCTGGCCGGGCTGCGCTGCGAGACCCTCCGGGTGCCACGGCAGGTCACCTCGCTGCAGCTCTGGGAGGAGATCGTCAAGGTTCACCCCAGGTATTCGGGGAAGCTACTGCTGAGGGGCTCAAAACTTAACGTGGCTGGGTTGTTTTGGTTTTTTGGTTGTTGGTTTTTGTTTTTTTTTTGTTTTGTTTAATACCCATTCAGTGTTTGGAGTTTGAGCTGGAATACGTACGGGTACTGTGGCACCACAAAAACAGTGACATTACCTTCTTCTGGTAACCTGTGGCGCGTGTGTTGGCCAGCTGCAAATGCTGTAGCTTTACGCACGTGCAAGGAAAGAGTAGCTCCATAAACGCACCCAAAGGCTGGGCCTGAGGGGTGGTGTGAGACGTGTGGTCCAGGGGGGCCGTGGTGCGGTAGTTCTGCTGCACATGAGAACTCCCGAGCTGTGTTACGGACCTGGGGAGAAGGTGAAAGTGTTGCAAGGCGGGATCAAGCACAGGCAGGGCAATAAATAAGAAATTCATGATAATATGCAGGTGTTTTTGCTCACTTAACCTTTAACAGCAACTGTTAGCTGTTGCTCTGAGCTTATGGCACCCTCTGGAAGGCAGGTCAGGGAGGGAACTGAAACTCTAGCACAGGCTTCCAGCCCCTCAACCCTTACATAGAAAATAGGCTCAGCTGCTTTGAACCTCCTCTGCTTTGAAAAAAAACTTACCACCATTACTTTTATTTCATAGGGAGTCTGGTCCTGAGAGAGCTGTAAGTGTGCGCTGTAAGGACACCTGCAGCGCTGCTGCTCTTTGGGGGTGTCAGCAGAAATCCCACCTCAGGTTAGGAGTGAAGGAAGGTGCTCAGTCCTGTTAAGAATGAATCTGATAGACAAAGGTGTGACACTGTTTTGGGGTGAGGAGTAAAAAGTCCTGTTAAGAATGAGTCTGATAGACAAAGGTGCGACACTGTTTTGGGGTGAGGAGTAAAAAGTCCTGTTAAGAATGAGTCTGATAGACAAAGGTGCAACACCATTTTGGGGTGAGGAGTAAAAGAAGAAAAAGTAAGGTGTAACAGAGGTTGAGGTCCTCAGGATTTAGAGCTGAATGCACTGGAATTTCCGTAACTTTGGACTTGGGTGCCAAAGTCTTCCTTTAGGCACCACCCTTGTTTATTAGATCTAGTCTCAAAGGCTATGAAAAAAATTAACTATTTAGCAAAGGCATCTGTTTCCAAATGAGAAGCTCTAACCGAATGTTACACCAGAGGCCTTTTCCTCACAGAGAATTGAGACCCAGTGTGTTACAGGGCAGGAGGCTGTAGGGAGCAATGGGCGTATTTTGCTTTGCAGCCTATTACGAGGTGTCAGAAGCAGGAGCAGCACCTTTGGTCGGTTTGCTATAGTTTGTCAACTTTGCCCTTTTATGAATGATGACTTGGGGCAGTACATTTTGCATGTGCAGTTACTTCACAGTGGCCTTCTTGTAAAATACTTCTGCTCCTAGCTTTTCTGGAAAAACTCAACATAATTGTACAGCGTTGACCACAGACTTCTATTCATATTGCTAATGGATATTCAAACTGCGGCTTGAGCGTACTTGTCAGTGCTCTTCTGTTCCACCCATTTTCCCCAATGAATAAACTTGCAAGTGACATTAATTAGAGCCCATCCTTCTAATGGGCACTTCAGTTCCATAGTTATGCTTGGTTCCTCAGTGGCCTTCTTTACTTTAATACGGTCCCTTCTTTCAGTCTGTCCTCTGAGTCAGTGCTACTGTGTTTTGCTCAGCCTTTGTCTTGCCTACTTTTGTCTATCTGGCTGGTAGGAAATAAGATGATTTTTACTTGTACCCTTTTGGTGTCCCTACTTGGATTTGGCAATACAGCTCTCTGCTGTCTGTGCCAGGTTTTCTAGCCTCAAACAATAACAGTTATCACGCTTTCACCTTCTAAAGTAAAATGTTGGCATTCTTTTTCTGCTGCCTTACTGGTGTTGCCCTCCTACTCACTGTGTGATTGCACTTAGTTGTGAAAGTGACTCTCTGCCTGACGGTACCCAGAGCTGTGGACTCTTACAGCAATATCTAACAGATTTGAAATCCAAAAATACATACAAGATCTCCCAGAAAACCCACCATATCTACCCTCTTAGTTCTGTTACCACTTCTTATCAATAGCAAATTTCAGACCTGTAAGTACAAAGACCCAGAGCCTCATATGCTATGAGGTACGGAACGAGAGCAACTCTTTGACCACTGAATCTTCTTGAGGTCTCATGAATAGCAGCCTGCAATGCTTCTTTCTGTCTAAGAAAATTACTCCAGCTAGACTGAATCGGGAACACTTCCTTCTAATCCCGAATTGGATGGTTACTACCCTCTTGAGTGACCCACTTCTTTGTTAGAAGCTGCTAAAGTCAGTCTGGTATATATTGTTTCATTCTGATGTAGACCTGTTCCTGGCTCCTGAAAATTGTACGCAGTGGGTTTCTCCTTAGGCACCAGAAGAAAGTCCAAGAGTAGGAGGTGGGTGTTTGTTGTACTTTTGGAAATGTATTGGATGCATAATTGCGTAAGTCTCAGTGGCATTTACCTCAGCTGCCCTAGACTGTGCATCAGTTTGTTGTTTAATGAAATCTCATGGTTAAATGCAAACACTCTATTTAGAAACCTATTTGTGCTCCTGCCAATCCCCCTCAGGCTTGCTGTCATCCGGGATCAAGTGGTTTTTGCTGTTCGGCAGGAGTACGTGCTTCTTGGAGATCAGCTCCTGGTCCTGCAGCCCGGAGACGAGGTTGCCATCATCCCACCAATTAGTGGAGGCTGAATCTGCCCAGGTTCTGTTAGGTAGGTATCACTTCTTGCTTAGTTTCCTATGGAGTGCCATCTTGTGCTAAAATATCTCAGATTCTCTATGATGTTCTATAATCTTTTTTTGTTTAGGTCCAGAGATGAGATTGCAGTTCTCTCCCTCTACCCCAGTAGTCTTCTGAGAGAACATAACTTATGTTTCCTGCTGGAGAGAACAATTGTGCTGACCTGAAGCTGTAAGCTTGTGCACCAGTAAATGATTAACACGTATGCAGTAAATGGAAGAAAATTGCCAGAGAGGTCAGGCATTGTTTTGAATTTGGATTTTGGGTCTTACTTATTCTTTCGTAGTTGTTTCTGGCTGCCAGTAGATACCCAGCTTGCCTAAATAAGATAATAATGAAAAACCTTCTGCCACTTTTTAACAGAAAAAGAATGGTCTGTTGCTTACAAAAACCTTTTTTCTTTTTCTTTTCTGTCACAGGTGTCCTTAGAATAGCTTCATTTCTTTGCATGCTTTCAAGTACCAGTCTATGTATTTGCTGCATCTTGTTCTATTGCTGCTGCTAAAAATACTTATTTTCCTCCTCATTCTTAGATGAACTGATGACTGGTTTCTGCTCAGAGAAATTAGAAGAGTCTCCTGTGTCATTGAAGCAGACTGATAGTATGAGGACCTGCATGTCCTGGAGAGCATATAAAACTTTAGAATTAGAACTCTAATCTGTGTTTATCAGAAGCCTCTTTTTTAAACTGTATTTGATTTCAGGATAAAATGTGAGGAGGGGCTATCTTACCACAGATTTACTAGCACACTGATCCATGCTGGTTGATGTTAAACTGGGAGCTCAGACTAGTTCCAGTTTTGTCCTGTTGGACCAGACGTTCCTATCAGGAAGGAACCTGTATGCGGAAAAGAACAGGCCACTGCTTGATATTTGCAGTTAATATTCTCTCAGCAGGTCTGCAGAGAAGTGAATTTGCAATGGAGACTGGTCTCTTGGGGTGAGGAAGTAGATGGTGCATGTTTTCTGCACGAACTGCGGCATCAGCACTGGATAAAATGCAGTTGGCCAATGCTGGTAATCGCCAAAACCAACAGCAGTCTGTTTGGTTTCAGCTTTTCTAGTGAGCTATGGATGAAAGTGAAGATGTGCCAAAAGATTTTATCAATCTCAAGTCTGAAAAGCTCTCTGTAGATGAAGTGTCAGAGCTGGTCGTTTCACCATACTGTGGGGCAGTGTCTCTGTTCATTGGTGAGTTTAATATTTCTGAGCTGGATCTCTGAGTGTGTTAATAGTCTAATAAATGAAACCTAGATTGTCCACACCCCAAACTCACGCCTCTCAAATAAATAAATTCCTGGACTGAGCCCAGGATGTTTAGAAAACACATTCACAATTACTTAGAACAAGACGATGGCAGCTCTTAAACAGTTGCACTGGGACAAAGTGGTGAGAAGCTCCCCTGCTGGTGTGGCTATCCTAGGGCTGAACAGAAGCAGCTCTGGAGTACAGGGCTGCTTGGGAGCTATTCTCTCATCTCCTTGGACACAACTTGGTCAAGGTGGGAAGTGGGATGTTGTAGCTGTGAAAATCACAGGTCCACACCTATATGAAAGCTTCTGCAACTCGGGTCTTGGTGGAAAGTAAAGTACTATTTTACCCCTGGGCTGGTGAAGGCCAAGGCTGATGGCTCTGTCACATTGTTTAATGTACATGGTACAGATCTTGAAACCCTCTTTGTTCTTAAAACCTGAGTGCTACTGGGCTCCTAAATACTGAGCGCTTAAACATTGCATGGGTAAATGCAATAATAGCACCCTAGCAGCTACCACAGAAGATGTCCAAGCCTTGGGCATTAAAAACTGCAGACTTGTGTAAATTAAATTCTTCCTTGTATATTTAAGATTTCTCTTGTTCAAAGAGTCTCTTTACACAGCCATGATTAGGGGAGGTCATTTATATTTGCACAGGGATAACCTTGGACATAACAGGAGATCCTGAATTTTACTCAGTATTTACCTAGAATATGTTATTATATAATAATTATATAATATAAATGTTATATATTTATTTACTCAGTGCTATTGGTTGATAAATCCTTTGTGTTTAGGCACTACCAGAAATAATTTTGAAGGGAAAAAAGTGGTTCACTTAGAATATGAAGCTTATACTTCAATGGCAGAGTCGGAAATAAAGAAAATCTGCAAAGATGTTAGACAGAAGTGGCCGTCAGTCAAACATATTGCAGTGCACCATAGACTTGGGTATGTATAGCTGGACCCTATCCTTCTGCAAGTGGAACTTATCCATGTCTGGTGTGTGGCTGTGCTTACATAGGTGCTGGATGTGCAGGAGATTTCATAAACTGCAATGCAGCAAAACTGGCTGGAGGATTAAGGTCTTGCTGTGGAGCGAAGTTTCAGAAAGCGTCTTTTAAAAAATGTGTTTGTTGGAGTCCACGTTTAGCCTGCAGGATCCTTGAGGATAGTGTGATGGTTTGAAAGCATGGAGAAGGGACTGAGATTTAATTTCAGGAAAGTGGTGCCTGTTGGTTTACTTTGCCTTTTTTTTTTTTAAAGACGTGAAGTTGGCAACACTTTCTTTTTTCTTCTGTCTTCCATTGAGGTACTGCAGAATATTTTTATTGTCAGATTTAAGTCAAATTATGCCATAGGGAACCTAAAAACTTAGACTATGGGGAGTGGAGCGACATGGTAATGGCCAGGCATGCTTGCCAGAGAACCTCCTGTTGTGCCTTTAATCTTGCATAAGTATTTTCTGTTGGGTTCAAAACATGGAATACTAGTGTCTGACATACTCTTGAGCCTTCATGGTTCATCAGATTTCTCACTGAAACTAGCAGGATTTGCAGAGTCTGTTGCAAATGCTTGTTTCCATTTTTCTCAGCAGAAGGACCTTAGGAGGTGATCGCAAAGGGTAATATTAGCTCTGAGGGGTAGTTTCCTTATATTTCCTGTATAGTCAACAGAGACAGGGATTCTCTTGAGGGCAGCTCAAAGCATTAAAGCTTAGATTTTTCCTATGAACAGTTTGCCAGAGGAGTCTTAGTACAGAGGGAGTGTTGGGAGGCAGCTTTTGGGAATATTACCCTTGTGAGGAGGAAAACAAAACCTTGTGCTACTTCTATTAAGTTGGAAAATAACACACCAAACAGGAAAAACTTCATAATTTGAAATCAGAATTTGTCAAAAATTCAGTTTCATTGCAAAATCTGCATAGTTTGCTGCACTTAGTTTCTTCTTTCACAAATTCTAGTAAAAACTGAGATGATTTCTTAGGTTTTCAGGTGAGAACTGGCAGTTCCTAACTTGTTCATTCTTAAGCCAGTTTCCAGTGAGTTTCCTATGCATTGTTTAGTTAACAAAGTTAACAATTTTACCCTCTTAATTCCATAGACTTTATTTAAAAAAAAAAAAAGAATGGAAGAAAAAAAGCCTATGTCTGGTGGGTTTATTTATTCTAAAGCATGGAATTCTCACATCTGGTACTGATTTTGGTTGTGGTTTTCTTTCTTTTAAAAAGTGTATAATCTTCTGGACATGGCTTGACACTTGCTCAGTATGAATGAGTCAGGAGAGCATGTGGCCAGAATACTGACGTGACATGGCCACAACTTTTGGGTGCTCTTGATGTTAAGCATTAGCTAAAGCTGCTGTTCCTCTTGTCTCCCTAGTGTGGTTCCAATAACTGAAGCAAGTGTAATTATTGCAGTCTCCTCTCCACACAGAGCAGAATCTCTTGAAGCTGTGACATACTGCATCAATACCTTAAAAGCTTCCGTCCCAATATGGAAAAAGGTATGTTTGGGGAGAAACCTGATTTTAGGCCTGTGCCAGAGTCTTAGACAGCTGGGCTAAAGGCTGCTGCTGCTCTTAAGGGAAGGAGTTGAAGCATTACTGGCAGCAGTTGCTCCTGATGGGCTACCGATGTCTAGTTCCCTCTAATGCAGATGGGCCCATCTGTGGCACGTAGGGCACCTGGAAGGCCCTCCCTTGCCTGTACCACCCAGCTCCTTCTCCTTTTAATGGCATCCTGGGGTCAAAGTGAAAGAACCCTGAGCTTTCCACTTTTGACTGGCAAAACTCAGTTCTGCACAGGCTTGTGGAAGAACTTCGAGTCAGCTTTGCTCTGGATGGCATTGCAGTTTGCAAGTAAAGTGGCATTTCTTGTCTTTCCATTTTCTCCTCATCCCCGTGGCCTTGAGAAATCACAAAGCATTAAGCAACAGCACACAATGAAGGGAAGAGCAGAGGTCCCAAAGCTAGTGGGGCACACAACAGTGTGTGGAGAGACCAGCCCAATTCTAGATAGAGCCTCATTGCATAACCACGGTGTTGCATGCAAATAATGAGCATTACCTCTGCCTTCTCTCCCATGTTCTCCACTTTACTCCACTTTTCTTTCACCTCTTTCAGGAGACTGGAGTTCTGTGGTCTCAGACAGAATAATCAATGGCTCAGAGCCCTGCTGAATTTTCCCCTTAGGACTGCTGCTGAGTAGTCCAGTCTGTCCTGAAGATCTAATATTTGCTGTATTTTGTCTAATGTTGTCACTTTTATTTTTTCTAATACTGACATTTTGTTTACATTTAAATACTGTCCTAAAAATGATGGTACAGTAAGTTAACATGGCAACATGTAAAAAGGGCAGTTTCAGATACAAGTGCTGTGTACTCTACAGCTTTTACATCATTTCTCCTAGATCTCTTCCTTGAATTGACTTGAGTGTAGATGAGCCCTTATAAATTTAATGGGGCTCAGCCCAAGGTTCAGCATCTGCCCACATGTAAGTCAATATGTTCTAAGGGTGCTGCCCTCTTTTCTGTTTGCCAGCCAAGTGCTGTGTAGTCCTGTTGTGATCAGTAAATAATAGCAGGATGGCTGTTGAGTTGTTTGGCCTGGCTTGTGGCTGTATGTAGCAGACTCCCACAATATTTCCCATTCTCTGTTTATATTTGCAGGAGATTTATGAGGACGAATATTCTTGGAAAGAAAACAAGGAATGCTTTTGGGCAAATTCAGAAAAATAACTGTACTCTTTTAAAAATAAAGTGTCACTGTTCCTAATGAGCTTACTGGTTCAGCTTTGAGTTGTTTTTACAGAGAACCTGTATGTCCTTAAGAAGTTGCAATAGACACTTCAATCTGAATAATTTAATTATGACTGAATGAAATGAATGGGTAATAATTAGGAATTTTAAGTGTTCTTGACTCTCCTTTGAAATCAACTCTTCCTGCATTTTAACATGGAGTCGGTTTTTAAAACAATCTTCCCTAGAATTCTTGGTTGTAAGGTGTTTAGTCCTCTGTGATAAATACTTCTTTAATGCCTTTGCATTGGTTGTCTGTGTTCACTGTCTCCATGGAAGTTCACAACAGGACAATTGAAGATTTTTAATCTTAAAAAAAAGTCATGAGTAGCTTAATTTTATATGACTGTAGAATCAGTTTGCAAGCTTTATGCTATTTTGGCATTCTTGTAACATGAAAGCTACTTGAAGTAGATTAAACATTTTGGTACAAACAGAGAAGAAAATATAAACTATACCCCAGAGTTATTAACTTTTTAGTAGTGGTTACGTTCCAGTTGCTCTGTCTCACAGAAACACTTACTGTGTAGCTGATATTACAAGTCCATTGCATTAAAAAAATATGACAGACCTTGATTCAAAGTTAGATCTAATAGTCTACCAGCAGCAAACTTGCATTAGCAATAACACGCAAACCTCTAACTACTTAATGATGTCTAGACATGATTAATTTTGAAGGAGCTTTTTTGGCTGCATAATTGTATGGTGCTGCAGGAAAAAAAAAAAAAGCCAGCTATTATTACAAAATAGACAACTATAGTTTAATTAGTTTTAGTAGTTTGACTTCAGACACGTTAAGATTCAAAGTCATCAAAATGGATCAGTTTTTCAAAGGAAATTGAGTCTCAAACTTTTTGCAGTTTATGTGTGCATTTATATACACATTTATTATTTTAACTGGTTTTCTTGTGTTACTGTTTTGAAACCTAATTTAAAGAGGTAAAGATTGACATAGTATGCTTGTACTTCCACCTGAAACAATGGGCTTCTCATCTGAGTAAGGTAATTTTATTTATATTATTGTACTGTGCCATGATAGTGTTTAGATGCTAAGACCTCAAAGTCCATTGTGGATGGCATTTTTACTAATGCTGACAGGCAGTTTTGTCTGGCCATCGTTATCAGTGTAGACAAGATAGATATAAAAGGAAGGGAAACGAGGTAAAGAAAAGTAAAATTATTTGCTTAAGTTTATGTATCATTACAGCACATAACACTTAGGCCTCAGCTGTGTAATCCATTTCATTGTGTCTGCAGTAAAAATCTAAAAACAGCTGCTCGCTGCACAAAATAAAGCGAGCAAAATAGGTGATGATCTGTTTTCCTCCAGTGATCTCAGTCAGTTTTAATAGTTATCGATGGCTAGTGGATCTGGATTGAGTAAACCCCAATGAAACGCGCAGCTGAAGGCAGAGGCATGGTTAAACTCTGTTTATGAACTTAGTGATGCACTGTCCTCAGTGGACGTGAGCGAGTCCTTCCTTTGCAGGACAGCAGCTGCTCCTCGCGTGCTTGCACGGCGGCAGCCTCCAAACCATGTGGGCCCTGTTATCTAGGCAGAGCTGATCGATTCAAGGTTGAGTTTTCTTTCGCTTTGGAGGGTGGAAAGAAGACCTCCTCTATGTGAATGCCATTTTTATCAGGAATTGTACAGAATCCTGAGTACAGATCATACCCTCTGTCAAAGGACTCTTTTTGTTCTTAGAAAATAAAGAAATACACAAACTTTCCCATTTTTGGTCTTCATTTTTCCACATTCATGCTTGCGGTTACCATGGAACTAATGAGTGTATTAATTTCACAAAAAGAAGTGAGTAGCTTGCCTTGTAGTGGATGGTTTATGAATGAATGAAGTAAAATGCATGCAGTGCTTGTGTACTGGTGCTGTACAGAAAAATAGTGGTATGTAGAGCAGTTAAACTGTACTTGGGGCCCTGTGTTGAGGGGCAATTCCTGTGTGGCACTAGTGCTGCAGTCTCCTGGAGGATTTCTCCAGGGTGACCTTAAGTGCACCTTCCCCATCAGCAGTGCAGCTGGGAAGGAGGGTGCAGAAAAGAAGAGAAAGAATAATTGTGTACTTCCCCACAGTGACCAGGAACAATGAATGGAAGAGATGTTGTACTGACTCACAGCTGAGTTTTACAATGTGTGTACGCTGCCATGGTCAAAACAATGAAATGTCATTTTGTGTCCCTAGCTGTGCATGAGGCAAGTACTGCTTTGTTCTGGAACAATGATGTATCAGTCTTGCGTAACTTTGGGTTCTTCAGCTGGCATCTAAAAGCGAAATGGAAATGCCCCTAGGAGGGATGATGTGCATAATTAGAGGTAAAATGTATCTCACTGAAATTTAAGTCTATACTCCGAGCTTGGTGTTCCGGCTCCCTCTGTAGGGCTACCCTCTCTGCTAGGGAGCTATTATTCTAAGAAGGCAAATCACTCAGTTCTAAGAGAGCTGCCTGAGGCTATGTCTGGAGTGACCCAGAAGTGCTTCCAAATTTCCAGGCCAGGGGATGAATCCCAGCTGTGTCTGCATGTCAGGGAAAGATCTCCTGGTTTCCACCCATGCAGGACTAGGCTGCTGGATGAGGGCTACCTTGTGTTTTGGTGAGGTCCCTGAGTGGGATAATAGGCAGCTGCAGATCAATATACGCTGCTGTCTTGGCTTTCTGGGACAGGTCCAGCGGTCTCTCTGCCTTGGCTGTAGGGGAGGGTAATCCCACCCCTCTGGGCTCTTCCAGCTGTGTCACAGCGTGCTGCAGAGGTGGTGGCTCCAGGTGCAGGCAGATGTTGCTGGGAACGGCTGCTGCTGCTGCAAACCAGAGGGTCATCCTGTGGATCCCGTAGACATCTGCCAGATGAGGAGTGCTTGTGGAAGGGCAAGAATTTCTCCTGAAAAACGTCTTGGTCTTGGCTGGCAATATTTGAATACGCCGATCCCTTTGTCTGGCAGAACGTCCATATAGCAGCATTGCTTAATTTGAAGAGTTTGCGTTCCCCGATGTCGATGGTGCGTTCCTCCGTGTTCTCCAGAGGAGCTCACCCCGGTGCGTGCCGTGACAGCAGGAGGGGATGGGGTCTCGGGGGGGCGGTGGGGACGGTGTTATGAGGAGGCGCCCCAGGAGGGGGCAGCCGAGAGGCGGCTGTGCCCGAGGAGCCTCCCTCCGGCCCAGGTGCTGGAGCTGCCGGGGAAGGCGGCCGCTGCCTCAGGAGGCTGCTGCCGCCCCACTCGGCAATGAAGCCCTCACATTGCTCGGCTTTAAGCTACATTTTTGGCTTCTCTCCCTGCTCACCTTTCTCATAGCTGTTCGAGGAATTTGTGGATTTCTAGGCTGATCCACTCATCTGCTCCATCAAAAACGTTTAAAAACCTCTGTGATAAATACTTCTTTAATGCCTTTGCATTGGTTGTCTGTGTTCACTGTCTCCATGGAAGTTCACAACAGGACAATTGAAGATTTTTAATCTTAAAAAAAAGTCATGAGTAGCTTAATTTTATATGACTGTAGAATCAGTTTGCAAGCTTTATGCTATTTTGGCATTCTTGTAACATGAAAGCTACTTGAAGTAGATTAAACATTTTGGTACAAACAGAGAAGAAAATATAAACTATACCCCAGAGTTATTAACTTTTTAGTAGTGGTTACGTTCCAGTTGCTCTGTCTCACAGAAACACTTACTGTGTAGCTGATATTACAAGTCCATTGCATTAAAAAAATATGACAGACCTTGATTCAAAGTTAGATCTAATAGTCTACCAGCAGCAAACTTGCATTAGCAATAACACGCAAACCTCTAACTACTTAATGATGTCTAGACATGATTAATTTTGAAGGAGCTTTTTTGGCTGCATAATTGTATGGTGCTGCAGGAAAAAAAAAAAAAGCCAGCTATTATTACAAAATAGACAACTATAGTTTAATTAGTTTTAGTAGTTTGACTTCAGACACGTTAAGATTCAAAGTCATCAAAATGGATCAGTTTTTCAAAGGAAATTGAGTCTCAAACTTTTTGCAGTTTATGTGTGCATTTATATACACATTTATTATTTTAACTGGTTTTCTTGTGTTACTGTTTTGAAACCTAATTTAAAGAGGTAAAGATTGACATAGTATGCTTGTACTTCCACCTGAAACAATGGGCTTCTCATCTGAGTAAGGTAATTTTATTTATATTATTGTACTGTGCCATGATAGTGTTTAGATGCTAAGACCTCAAAGTCCATTGTGGATGGCATTTTTACTAATGCTGACAGGCAGTTTTGTCTGGCCATCGTTATCAGTGTAGACAAGATAGATATAAAAGGAAGGGAAACGAGGTAAAGAAAAGTAAAATTATTTGCTTAAGTTTATGTATCATTACAGCACATAACACTTAGGCCTCAGCTGTGTAATCCATTTCATTGTGTCTGCAGTAAAAATCTAAAAACAGCTGCTCGCTGCACAAAATAAAGCGAGCAAAATAGGTGATGATCTGTTTTCCTCCAGTGATCTCAGTCAGTTTTAATAGTTATCGATGGCTAGTGGATCTGGATTGAGTAAACCCCAATGAAACGCGCAGCTGAAGGCAGAGGCATGGTTAAACTCTGTTTATGAACTTAGTGATGCACTGTCCTCAGTGGACGTGAGCGAGTCCTTCCTTTGCAGGACAGCAGCTGCTCCTCGCGTGCTTGCACGGCGGCAGCCTCCAAACCATGTGGGCCCTGTTATCTAGGCAGAGCTGATCGATTCAAGGTTGAGTTTTCTTTCGCTTTGGAGGGTGGAAAGAAGACCTCCTCTATGTGAATGCCATTTTTATCAGGAATTGTACAGAATCCTGAGTACAGATCATACCCTCTGTCAAAGGACTCTTTTTGTTCTTAGAAAATAAAGAAATACACAAACTTTCCCATTTTTGGTCTTCATTTTTCCACATTCATGCTTGCGGTTACCATGGAACTAATGAGTGTATTAATTTCACAAAAAGAAGTGAGTAGCTTGCCTTGTAGTGGATGGTTTATGAATGAATGAAGTAAAATGCATGCAGTGCTTGTGTACTGGTGCTGTACAGAAAAATAGTGGTATGTAGAGCAGTTAAACTGTACTTGGGGCCCTGTGTTGAGGGGCAATTCCTGTGTGGCACTAGTGCTGCAGTCTCCTGGAGGATTTCTCCAGGGTGACCTTAAGTGCACCTTCCCCATCAGCAGTGCAGCTGGGAAGGAGGGTGCAGAAAAGAAGAGAAAGAATAATTGTGTACTTCCCCACAGTGACCAGGAACAATGAATGGAAGAGATGTTGTACTGACTCACAGCTGAGTTTTACAATGTGTGTACGCTGCCATGGTCAAAACAATGAAATGTCATTTTGTGTCCCTAGCTGTGCATGAGGCAAGTACTGCTTTGTTCTGGAACAATGATGTATCAGTCTTGCGTAACTTTGGGTTCTTCAGCTGGCATCTAAAAGCGAAATGGAAATGCCCCTAGGAGGGATGATGTGCATAATTAGAGGTAAAATGTATCTCACTGAAATTTAAGTCTATACTCCGAGCTTGGTGTTCCGGCTCCCTCTGTAGGGCTACCCTCTCTGCTAGGGAGCTATTATTCTAAGAAGGCAAATCACTCAGTTCTAAGAGAGCTGCCTGAGGCTATGTCTGGAGTGACCCAGAAGTGCTTCCAAATTTCCAGGCCAGGGGATGAATCCCAGCTGTGTCTGCATGTCAGGGAAAGATCTCCTGGTTTCCACCCATGCAGGACTAGGCTGCTGGATGAGGGCTACCTTGTGTTTTGGTGAGGTCCCTGAGTGGGATAATAGGCAGCTGCAGATCAATATACGCTGCTGTCTTGGCTTTCTGGGACAGGTCCAGCGGTCTCTCTGCCTTGGCTGTAGGGGAGGGTAATCCCACCCCTCTGGGCTCTTCCAGCTGTGTCACAGCGTGCTGCAGAGGTGGTGGCTCCAGGTGCAGGCAGATGTTGCTGGGAACGGCTGCTGCTGCTGCAAACCAGAGGGTCATCCTGTGGATCCCGTAGACATCTGCCAGATGAGGAGTGCTTGTGGAAGGGCAAGAATTTCTCCTGAAAAACGTCTTGGTCTTGGCTGGCAATATTTGAATACGCCGATCCCTTTGTCTGGCAGAACGTCCATATAGCAGCATTGCTTAATTTGAAGAGTTTGCGTTCCCCGATGTCGATGGTGCGTTCCTCCGTGTTCTCCAGAGGAGCTCACCCCGGTGCGTGCCGTGACAGCAGGAGGGGATGGGGTCTCGGGGGGGCGGTGGGGACGGTGTTATGAGGAGGCGCCCCAGGAGGGGGCAGCCGAGAGGCGGCTGTGCCCGAGGAGCCTCCCTCCGGCCCAGGTGCTGGAGCTGCCGGGGAAGGCGGCCGCTGCCTCAGGAGGCTGCTGCCGCCCCACTCGGCAATGAAGCCCTCACATTGCTCGGCTTTAAGCTACATTTTTGGCTTCTCTCCCTGCTCACCTTTCTCATAGCTGTTCGAGGAATTTGTGGATTTCTAGGCTGATCCACTCATCTGCTCCATCAAAAACGTTTAAAAACAGTTGTGCGACGTGATCTTATCAAGTGTTAGAAAAAATTAGCATCCTGATGTACCTTTACAGCAGTTAGGAGTTCCACTTTGACTATTTTAAGAGAAAGAGGCAAATAGATTTTAAAAACTGCTAGCGTGCCAAAGCCTGTGATTGCCTATAAATAACTGATCATAAACGAGGTTAGAAAGGTTGACTTAAAAGATAGGACTTGTAACTTTTCTGAGGCTATGAAAATTCTATACACTTTACTACCTTTAAAGGCAATAAAAAGTTGAGGTAATTAGCTATAGGTTTTGAGATGCATTTTCACACCTTCATTTTCTTTAGTCTTTAATTTGCAAGCTTTTGTCGTACCTCAGTTTTAGATATAAAGGGTAATACACACAAGTCAGAATATAAGGAATCTGGCTTTCAATTCTGCAGAACACTGACACCTGGTGAACACTGGAGTTTTGTGCCTTAAGATTACAGTCATCTGATTCTGTGTTACAGAAGTGTTAAAAGTTGGTAGCCTGAACGTTTTTGTAGCACTGTTAAAAGTATGGAGGAGTTGAAGGTGGGGGGAAGAAAAGGAAGCTCTGTGAAAGTGGCTGGTTATTGCCATGACTGTCTTTCTTTTGTCTTCCAGTTCACAGCCAAGTTCCTCTCTTTTCCTTTCCTACCATGCTCCTGCTGAAATGTTACATTCAGCTTTTCCAGCATATGGGGGGCAAGTAGCCAGAGCTGCTGTCAGGAGATGCTACTGCTGAGCCATTCTGTATAAAGTGCAGGGCAGGAGACTGGCAGAATGCAGTGTAATTTTGGATGCCAGTGATGATAACCCCATGTTTATAGGAAGGCCTGACCATGGTAAGGTTTTAGCACCAACTATTCAACCAGAGCCATTCAAAGATAGGTATTCTGCTCTAATGTGAACTGACAGAGTACAATATAGCTTACCAGTAGTTTTATGCTCATGACTATAACCTGCAAGACTTCAAGTGCCCCTTCTTTGTGTACTTAGCAGAGTCATCCCCTTAGGGTTTTCACTGTTTGCTTCTGGAACAAAGAGATATTTGGCCCCATTTTACGTGAGGCCAGTCTCCCAGTTGCTAGACTGGCGTCTAGCAAATGTGATGCCCATCCACAAGAAGGGTTGGAAGGATGGTCTGGGGAACTACAGGCCTGTCAGTCTGACCTCGGTGCCTGGGAAGATCATGGAACAGACCATCCTGAGTGCCATTATGCAGCGCATGAAGCACGCCCAGGTGATCAGGCCCAGCCAGCACGGGTTCATGAGAGGCAGGTCCTGCTTGACAAACCTGATCTCCTTCTATGACAAAGTGACCCACTTGCTGGATGAAGGAAAGGCTGTGGATGTTGTTTATCTGGACTTCAGCAAAGCCTTTGATAGTCTCCCACAGTATCCTCCTGGAGAAACTGGCTGCCCATGGCCTAGATGGGAATACTCTGCACTGGGTTAAAAACTGTCTGGAGGGCTGGGCCCAGAGAGTGGTGGTGAATGGAGTCAAATCCAGTTGGTGGCTGGTCACGAGTGGTGTCCCACAGGGCTCGGTACTGGGACCCGTTCTCTTTAACACCTTTATCAATGATCTGGATGAGGGGATCGAGTGCACCCTCAGTAAATTTAGAGATGACACCAAGTTGGGTGGCAGTGTTGACCTGCTGAAGGGTAGAGAGGCTTTGCAGAGAGATCTGGACAGGCTGGATCGATGGGCTGAGACCAACAGGATGAAGTTCAACAAGGCCAAGTGCCGGGTCCTGCACTTGGGTCACAACAACCCCATGCAGTGCCACAGGCTTGGGGCAGAGTGGCTGGAGAGCTGCCTGGCAGAAAAGGACCTGGGGGTGTTGGTCGACTGTCGGCTGAACATGAGCCAGCAGTGTGCCCAGGTGGCCAAGAAGGCCAACAGCATCCTGGCCTGTATCAGGAACAGTGTGGCGAGTAGGGCCCGAGAGGTGATTGTCCCCCTGTACTCGGCACTGGTGAGGCCTCACCTTGAGTACTGTGTCCAGTTTTGGGCCCCCTACCATAAAAAAGACATTGAGGTGCTGGAGCGGGTCCAGAGAAGGGCGACAAAGATGGTGAGGGGTCTGGAGCACAAGTCTTATGAGGAGAGGCTGAGGGAGCTGGGGTTGTTCAGTCTGGAGAAGAGGAGGCTGAGGGGAGACCTTATCGCGCTCTATAACTACCTGAAGGGGGGGTGTAGAGAAGCGGGGGTCAGTCTCATCTCCCAAGTCACAGGAGATAGGACAAGGGGAAATGGCCTCAAGTTGCACCAGGGGAGGTTTAGATTGGATATTAGGAAACATTTCTTCACGGAAAGGGTTATCCAGCATTGGAATAGGCTGCCCAGGGAAGTGGTTGAGGCACCATCCCTGGAGGTGTTCAAAAGACGGGTTGACGTGGTCCTCAGGAATATGGTTTAGTGATTTTTTTTTTATTGCTTATTTCTTATTTATTTTTTTGTCAGAGTTAGGTTGATGGTTGGACTAGATGATATTTAAGGTCCCTTCCAACCTAGATGATTCTATGATTCTATGTAATGCTTTTTCAGTAGCATTTCTTCTCTTTAGGGTGCTGTTTAAAAAATAAATGAGTCTGTGTTCAGCAGTATTCTTGTTTTTATTGTAGTAACGCTGTTAGGTCCTCAGGTAGGCACCACAGTGATACAGTCCCTGCTCCCATAGAGCTTACATGCTAGCTTTCAGAAGTCAGTTTGATTATAAACTGTCTTGTACATCCCAAATCTATACATAGGCTCATATGAAACTTACTCTGATTTTGGACTTGGTTCTAGCACTTCAAGAAGTCAGCAGCTAGATTTTCAAGACCAGAATCAGGTATAAAGTGAGTTCACCAAAGATACTTCTGACTTCTCTTGCTGCAAGCACAAACAGAAGCACATGCTGAAGCTCAACATTTCAGAATATTATTTCACCTGTAATGTGCTGTTTTGAAAAAGTAAAACTAAAAAAACCAAACCATCCCCTTGCGCATAATACAAAATATACATAATATATCCAGCATTATTTGCGGCTGTGCCAACTTAAAAGTGCAATAAACTCACCCATTACAAAAACTCAATTAGCCATTTAAGTATTAATTGTAAAAGAAAAATAAACTAGTAACTCGAAGTGGTTAGGATACAAAAACCTTACCCATTGCTATGCCTTGCCATTTATTTTGGGAAAAAGTATTATGTCCAGGCAGGGGGGCAAATTCTGTTTTCTGGGACAAAATAAAACACAGTGAAGGCTAATGAATTGAATCATTGCTACCTAATTAATAAACTTCTAAATCCCCAAAGAAATTGGATGTCAGATATTGACCTGTACTTCTCACTGAAGGTGGAAGAAGGAAATCCAGCTGAATGCCTTACTTGTCCCTTGCAAGCAGCACCAGAAACGGAAGATGCTGCTATTGGCTGTGTTAATAAATTCCCCCTCTGGCCTGGAGTGCATGATCCTGGTTATGTAGGAGCTTCCCACACATATGGGTGTAGGGTTTTGTTTTCATGCTCACAAGTTTGTACAAGAATGGAGGCAGACATGTTTTTATCTTTACTTTCAGAGCATTTGCCCTCAGGGTTTATAATTACAAGTCAGGAGCTTATTCTTTAGCTTTATGCAATTGCTACATTTTTTTTTTTTTCACTTTTAAAATAATTGTTTTGGTTACAAACTCAGCTGATGGCAACAATCTTGTTTGACACTCAAGATCAGAATCTGGATTGTTTTTCAGAATGTTAAAAAAACCCCCACCCCAAAACATAACATTTCATAGATACAAAATAAATCCAAAACACATATAAAACTACACTGAGCGCAATCCAGCTGTCACTGTAAATGAAGCTATTATTTGCCAAAGAGGTGGTTGGCTCCTGACTGATTAAAAAAGACAGTAAAACTTTCAAATGTGCTCAAGCCTAGTTTTTGAAGAGTCCCTCAGAAAATAATCTCAAAGGTCCCTAAGGGTAATTACAGTCTAGCTTTGGGGGAAAGAAAACGTGTCTTACTCTTCAAGTAAGTCACCTTGAGTTGGAAACAATCTCACTTGCATGGCATGACAACACGCTCATCTTTTCTCACAATCAATTATAACTGCCAGCCATGAGACAGAAAGGCAGCCAAGAGGCATATTCTCCTGACTTTTACCAGTCTTACAGCATGGGCCTTTTTAAGACTGAGCTTTCATTAAAACCAGGCAGCATTAACAGCATGTGATAGACTTGAGGTGTGTAACCAACACAGAGACACCCAAGTGTTGTGCTCAGAGCTCCTTCCAGAGCGCTACAGTACTGTACTGTATGAAACATAAGTTAACTTCATCAAGACATGAACACGTGGAACCAAATATAATGTGACAGGTAAGGAGGTCATACTGAACTTTGGTCTCCTGGAGGCACTGAGATGCTAAAGAAACAAGTGCAGTAAACAGTTTACAGAGCTTAGATCTTCACTATCCCCTGTCCTAATGTGCATACTTCCTCAGTCATCATCCCCTTTAGATCACTTCATGCTCTTAGTCTTGCAAAATCTTTCAGTACAAAATTAAAGGCAAGATCCTGATCATCTTCCCTATTTACATCAAAAACCAAACTGACGTCAGACGGACTGCAAGCATGAAGCACAGTGTAACAGTAGTGCTAGTGCTTCTCAAGATAAGATTTGAAAAACAATCATAACATTGCAGAGAACATGTAAGTGATTATGCAATTAATATTTTCTTCTTGGAGAGAAAGTATGCAGAAGGCAGTTATACATACCATTTGGTAATATTTCACCAAAACACTCTACTTCAGTAATTTAGTTGTGACCTTAGTGCAAGGAATTAGGTGAACTTTTGGAGCAGTTTGCCTATCCAGTTATCCTGTAGCACCCAGACAGACATCTTCATACGCAGTTCCCACTTTATAGATTAGTTAAAACAAAGGTTTGCTGGTGCAAATTATTTCCCTAAAACAATAAGGATGGAGCTAGTCAATGAAAAAATGAGTTTTCTTCTCCCAGTCTGGAAGCAGTATTCACCACACATTCATCATCAACTTAATAGAAAATGTCCTTTACACATATGGTACTTGTCAACTGAATTATGAACTGATGCTGTTCCACAATAATCAGAAATAAATTGCTCTGTTTCACTCTGCAGTGGATCAGGAGAAGGGTTGCTGGCACAATATGTTACTGTAAACTCCGGACCTGCCAGTTCTAAGGGCTAAGTTTGCTTGAAAGGCAAAAATTTACAAGAAAAGGCACTATAAATCATTTTTGAAAAAACCAAACTGTCCTGCAGTTACTCTTATAATAGAGTAGAATCTGTAAAATATTTTCATCTATAAAAAGACACTTTCATTAAAGATGTTTAAATGTTACTACGCTTTAAGGCACTCCAGCTGAAGAACCGACTGGATCACTACTGTTGGTGGCTCAGATCTCCTCTCTTTATCCACAAAACTCACGTTTCTCAGTCTTTGTCCTTTGTGAGTTCTGTAATTTCATCGACATCTTCTATATCCTGTGTCATTTTCTCATACTGTCTCTTGAAGAAGCCAAGCTGTGAGAAGTATTAAAATAACACCACATCGCAGTCAGTCATCGATAGTTATGTTTCTCAGCTAAGCTAAATAGTGTGATGGAAGAAATGTGTGTGTGCACACACACTGATTTGTAGGCAGTTCCTAACTCTAAAATGAAAGGAGCTGGGCCTTAAACTCCTGCCTGGTGTGACTAAATGCCAAAGCAGCAGGGCTGAGTAGCCAGTTGTCCGCCTGTCAAGATACATGTATCTCCATGCTGCCTTTGTGTGCCAAGGAGACCTTCAACCACCAATGCCCTGGCGCACAGAAGAACTTTTTTCTCCCCTTAATCTAGGTATCCTTTGCAAATGACTTTTCGCCCTTCCCCTCCTCTCTTCACTTTTTGTTTGTTACGTGTATATCCTCTCCCTCCTTGCTTCTAATCCCCAGCCTTGCCCACTGGGAAAATCATGGGAGTTCAGAGCCCAGCTGGGGAACTATGGAAGGCAGTGTCAAAAGGAAAAAAAGTAAATGCCACAGCTCCGGTTTTGAACCATTGGAAACTCATTTATCATCTTCATGTTGCCAATTTCTACAGGGACCCATTTAAGAACTTTGATCTTTAAGCCCTTCTAAATGCTCCCATCAAGGGCACAGTGCCAATGCAGTATTATTCATGCCACCAAACTGCATATGCAGTTTTGTTCAGCTCCAGAGAAGAGAAATTCCAAAGAAAATAGCCCAAACGTATTTATACCTTTCTGATTTTAAGACTATAAACATCTACTTACTTTCCACAAAACAGCAACCAATACTAACAGCAAGAGGAGTCCAGCCAATATACTGCCGATCACAACACCAACTGGTATCTCTGCTTTCTCATCTGGCTTCATTATCGTAACTGGAATCTGAAAGCACAGATACCGTGTGTTAGGGGTTGATGTTAACTGCACATAAAGTAGGATTTATAAAGTAATTCCATCACTAATCTAGAATAGCTGGACTGCACACATTCTAGAATCAATGACTGGAACACACCATGCAATTACAGCCCCTTCACTGGTGTCCACAGGTACCTGGTTGCACCACCATGGCACCAACTCTTTCAGAGTTGTCCCCATAGTGCACAGACACACCATGATCACTAGGTAAACCAGACACGCTTACAGGGAATAGCCTGGTGTGGAGCCCCATCTGCTCAAAACAGACTTCTGCCGCATCAGCTGGAGAAGAACTACTTCCAACCCAGCATCGTCAGAGGCTGTTATCTGTGATGGGCACCTGTAGGAGGCAACACTAATCTTGGGGGCCAGACACCATAGGGCACTCCCTGCGTCTGCTGAAATTTCTCCCCTCCTGCTGGGCAGGTCTCTCTGCCTCCTTTGCCTGCTGTTTCTACCTGCTGGGAAACCACTAACAACTTGTTAGATCTGATGTTAATCTCTGCTCTCCTGAGCTTGACTGCTTGAATTTGCTGTAAGATGTATGGGTCAAACAGGAGTGTTTCTAGCACACCTACACTTCCTGAGCTACAAGCAATACCAGAGAGCTCCCAGAACAGCATATGGTGTCTGGAAGTTAGTTTTCAGGTGATATCCTATCTATCCCATATTTGGTACAACCAAGTATATAGTTATGTAGAACTTAGTTGCTCAGGGAGACATTGCTATAATATTTATGAACTGTCAAATCTTTGGATTTAATCTTGGAACAACATGCATTTAGCATGAAGGTTTTTTTCCTTCCTGAAACATGATAAAAGAAGTCACGTTGGTTTACTTTCTCAGGGTTGCTTGCTCAGTGCATTTGTCTGGTGTAATTTAATCTTAAGCTTTCTGGGAAAATTGCACTGCACTGACATCTCAGTGATTTAAGTCGTTTCTGCTGGAAGGCTCCAGTGTTGTGCTAGGTGTGGCCATGTGTATTCATTTCACTGAGGCAGCCTGGCTTTGTGTATTTTCTAACCCAATGATGGCCATAATGATGGTTATAGCAGGTTAACATTCGGTCCTCCAGCTGGCAGTCCTTTCCAATTGGAAAAAATCTGAAAGCTTTTACGCAAAGATACCTAAGCAGCTTCCCCACATGGCATCACAAGGCAATATTAATCCATTTGGCTACACTGCAACCCAGGTCATCCAAACTAAAGAGCCAATCTCATATGTATGTGCCTTTTGCCTAGTAATGCTTTCTCCATTAGATTAATGGTGAAGTGGCACCATTGGAGAGGTAAATCAATGCCTACGAACAAATACCTTCCCTGAAATCAAACTGTGGTCCGTAAGACACCACAGCTGGGATTCACCTCATCTAGTGTTATATCTACAATATAGTTCCTTGGCTTCCAATGGAGAAGTATGGGCTTTTTTAGGGCCTTATTCACCCTACATATTTTAAGAATCGTCTTTAAGATGAGATGAATTGCATCTCAGAAATACTTACTCTTTCTATGGATTAGGGTTTATAGAAGGGCTAACTCTGATGTGGATGACTAATGTAGATATTAAGTTGCATGAATCCTACCACCCAGAAGTACACATATATTCCCTTTGCTTCTTCAGACACTGGAGGTTTATTTAGAGGTTTTTCAGAAGAAATGGAGTGACCCATGAGAAAGCAATGACAAAAAAAAGCACTGAATTATGGTCTTATTTCCAAATTGAGATAGATCAATCGATAACTGCCTTTGTGCATATTTAACTGAATTTTCCATTGCCTGTGAATGGGTTATGCTATACATTCTCACAGATATTTGATTCCTTTACTAACTTGCATTTTGGTCCTCAATGGCCTTGGTTATTTTTATGGATAAAACAGGCTGGTAAATCCTATAAAAACAAATCTAAACTTAGTACTGCAAATGGAAGAGTGTTCCTCTATAGAAAGGCCAAGAGAACAAGGTATATTTTTATTACAACAACCCCAGAGCACAACTGCATTCAAGTGTTGTTTATGCTTGTATATAGCAGATGGAGACCTTGGGAGAAGGATTTTACACTAATACAGAGATGGATTGGAGTCTTTTCTTGAGACGAGCTGTGTCCATATTGTCCACATGACAGCCATTCCAAATACAGAAAACACTGCACAATATTTTACAAATGAGATTAAGTATATTTGCTGGAGACCTGTGCCAAACATCTGTCTAGAAATGTCAAACCAAATACACGTACAGAGGTAAGACTGTAATTCAGATTTGCAAAAATGATTCCCAGAGCTCATTTATCTACAATAATTAATTCCACTGCATAAATAAGTCCAAATTTTGATCTTTTCATTAACAGGAAGCTGAACAAATTTCACAAGTTTCTAACTGAGTTTTGCTGATAGTTCTACAATCTATTTCAGATCTACAGATTTTAAGTAAGTCTGGTTTATATAGTAGTTGGCTGAAACAAAAACATTGTAATAACTTAAGGGAGGTTGAATACAGCCAGAAGGATACATTAGTTCAACATAACCAAATATCATTAGAGTTTTTAATCTGCTGTGTAGTCCTAAAGGACACTGAAAATTAAATATTATCACTTTAATACGATAAAAGATAAGAGAAGTTGAAAAAATATTGTTATCACTTACAGTTAGGGTATTCTCTCCAATTATAAATAATTCAGGGTTATGCGTATCAATTTTTGCCTCTGCAGAGAGTTGCAATGTCTGGAAAGTTAACTGAAAGAGAAGTTTAAAAAAACCAACAACCGTAAAGCTCTATTACATGGCCAATCGATTACAATGTAGACATCCTAAAATATTTCTCTTGCTTTGAAATGAGGATTTCAGAACCAGAAAAAAAAAAATCACAGTATTAAGAAAATTAAAATGATCTTTTTATTTGTCCCAACCTAACATGTCTATGACTTAATTTTGCTGTTGTCACTTACTAGCAATGAAACTGGAGAACTGGCCTTTTTTTCTTGAACATACAGTTCAGACAAAACAGAAGAATTTGATTATATATCCATTTTTATAGTTATTTCAAAGCTGTCACTACTGCTAGTAGGGTGGAGATGGGGGGAAAAATAGCAGTAAGAAAGGGAGAAATAGCTCAGCAACAGAAGACAGATGGGGATATATATCTGGCCTTTGAAAGAGATGGAAACTGGATGTTCTTTCCCTTCTCCCCCCCTCCGCCCCCCTCCTCTATCCAATGCTTCTGTTTTTCCCCATTTATTTTTTCCTACCGGTATCTGTTCCTCTCTACTGCTCAAATTCTGACATCGCTCCCTCAGCTTAAACAAAGGAGATGTCAAAAAATCTCAAGCCAAGTCCCATTTGAAAAGGGGCCTTGTGCCAGATGCCGCTTCCCTCTGCGCAGGTGCGGCAGGGCAGAGGAGCAGGCCTGTGCAGGCACCCCAGCTCACCGCTGCTCCTCTCCCTCCACGCCGGCCACGGAGGGCCCTGTTTCCTACAAGACCACCAGGAACAACACAGGTTCATGGGAGCAGAGGGGCGCTCGCCAGCTACTCCAAATGCAATGCCTGCTCGTGTCATTTTGCGTCCCCCCAGCCACTTCTCCGTGGCAGGGCCAGGTACGGAGGGTTTGACGCAGGGAACGTGGAGACGGGTCCGCAGCAGCTGATGCACACCAAAGTGGCCAGCATACGGTCACTGGATGCCAGCACTATGGCCATCTGCTGAAGTGGTCTGTCCTGTGCTCCTAAATGTTTCTAAACCCGCTAGAGCACTCTTCAAAACACCTGGTTAATTCCCGAACATGTCTTTCTTTGCTTTGCTTAGCAGGTACTGGCAAGCCTGCTGTCCCCTGGTTGGACAATGACTGATTGCCCCTAAAGAAAAAGGCTGATAATGTACATTATTGAGTGCTTGCAAGATCATTTGCACTGAACACTGCGAATCAAAAGGACAATACCAAAACGGGAGATGAGAGGAAAACTGTGACATCTGATTTTTCCTTCCCATTACCCATTGGCAAACAAATTCCACTCACTTTTTTGCAAGGGCAGCAACCTTTTGTTCAGGTCTCCACCTTCTGCATACCTGACAACACTAACAACTGGTCTTGACCCGGCTGATTTGAAAAATACAAACTTTAAAGACAGACAGATGCTTTCCTTCACACACTTGCATAAGTGTATTACATTATCAACCTGACCTTTTCCTTTTAAGAGCTGAATGCTAAAGCTGACAACAGCCCTGCTGTTAAATGTCAATACCTGTCATAAGACTCGCCAGACAAACTAAGGAGACTGCGTCATATTCCTGACACTGTAGGCAAACCCAGGACTCCAAGACAGTTTGGTTGGTTGCCTAGCTAAGAAGCAAACACGGTCTCATTTCAAAAGTCTGGTATATGAGTTGTATCCTGGAGGACACATGGTGATTTAAAATGGGAAACTCAAGACATTATTAATGGATAGTTTTAAGCATCCTGTAGGTCTTTAAGCAATGACTGTTTCCTTGACACTAACTGTAATAAAAACAAAAAATCAATTAAAAAATTTTTCCACACCTTCTCTAAGAAATATAACTGGCAGCATTGACAGGCTTTTGATATTTTATTGTTACCTAAAATGATAACTATGAAGGCTGTGATGCTCAAAAGCTAAAAGCAACATTATTTTCCAGGCTATGATGATACTGTATTCTGCTGTTCTATGTTGAGTTTTGTGGAAACTGTAGTTCCCCTTGAATGGATTTAACAGATACAGAAAATGTTTTTTTCAGCTGTGAAGGTTACATTATCACAGCATTTTCTTGGGTTTTGTGCTGGACTGAAGGTTATCAGCTCCATTATGCAGCCTCACAACTTATTTTACTTACAGATTCAAGTTTTCAATCTGGAAAAACACACACAACAATGTAAAGTAAAGGAAGGTCTTTGAAGATTGGAAGACCTCCTTACTGAACTTTGAAAAATACCAGGAGTTAGGCAATATTAGAGTATTGGATCCTTCAAGAAGACACAGCTGGTACTCACAGCAGCAAAGGTTCCATTCCAGATTCGGGTGGACACATTCACAAAGTACTCTCCCTTCAGCATCAGGTCTTCCAGTTTGCAAGCAATGGTGCTGCACTTCACATTCTTACAGTTCTTCCCAGGGAAACAGCAAGGAGAAGCAACAGCATGCATTAAAATGAGCTTTAATAAATGTTCTCTTAACATCCAGATTTTTTGCCCTTGCCTTTGCCATTCTGTGCATGCAAACCCGGTGCTTGCAGGCTGTGAAGAACATGCACCTTTTCTCCTAAGGCAGATGCAGTACGTGTGAGAACATCCATAGGCTGCCCTCCTGCACTGTGTCTGAGGAATGCCATCCCACCACAGCTCTTCCCACAGGTACAGCAGTGGGCTCGCAAGGGTCAGCCCTGCACCCCTGTCCTGTGGTACGGCAGCCCTGAGTCTTACTCACCAGTTCTTTGGAAGCTCTGAAGTTCTCTTTCGTGAAAGATGCAGAATAAGGTCTTTTCCCTATTTGCAGTGGATTTATCTGAGCTTGACAAGTAACACCTCTTGCCTAGGAAAGATGGCAGGAATGAAATCGGATGAATCATACTTGGGCGTTTATAGTCATCATAGTATATATTTCTGGGATGAGATGGTGGCTGCGAAAGGCTAGATTATATAACACAGATACTTCGGAAACTAAGAGACTGTATGTGGTTTTGCTCAAAATTAAATGGCTCTTATGGTAATATTTTTCTCCCCTCACTGACCTGAAGGGTTTGTTTCTATCTAAAAATTCCAGTTTTCCTAAAGCCTCCACGGAACTTGGAGAAGGACCTAGCTGAAGGGTTCCAGAGACATATGAAAAGTCAGCCATGGACCACAAAGATAATCCACATCTACCAAATAACAGACTAGTGCGCTGCTGACGTGGTGGTCCTCCCCCTTCCCTTTGTGAGGAAGGGACAAGGAGAAAGGGCATAGATTCTCTGAATCTCAGCCACATGATGAGGGAAGTAATTGTTGTTTATGGTACTGACTAAACCCCAGAACACAGCAGTTTATGTAATTCAGTTCTTCACCTGATCTGTGGTGACTGCAGTTATGTACATCAGTGGATTGTCTTTGGTAGTCAGTTCTGGAAGATAGATTTTTACAGATGCCATCTTTACTGGAATACTTCCGGTTGTTATCTGCAATGCAAATAACTCACAATTAATTCAGGTAGCTATACTTAGATATGCATAAGTTATTCAATATAGCAAGAACATCAGAAATTGTGGATATTTATGGAAGAATTGGACTTCTTTTGCATCAGTGTTTTTTATACAAAGACACCTACTAGGGCAGTAATTACATTAAGCCAATAATAAATCAGAAAGTGTACTGTATAGGTTCAGGTCCCTGTCTGTTTCCTTAGCAAAGCTCTTCTTAATTCCATGAAATATGGTTTGAAAAGCAAATATTCTGCCATAGCCAAAAAGGATTGTTATTTAGTCCTTTGGAGTAGCAGTTACAGGAATGTAAATGGAACATAATTTAAGATTCTTCCACGTTGCATATTTGGATCTCAGTTTTTCTGAGTTATGTAATAAATGCTGTGATCTGGCTAGTTCTTGCATCTGGTTTGAGCATTTAACCCTTGCCAAACGTCAAGTTTCAGAGTCCAAGCCTGCAAAGACTTGTTTTATCAAGCTGGCAGAAGCTTTGTGAAAATATAGTCTAAAATTAACCATTAACTGTCTTCTAAATAAGTAAACAGTGCAGGACCAATCCTTCTCCCATTCTACGTGTGCAGTAAGCATTTATCCCCCAGCTATTTCCAGTTATATATTTTCTTAATTGACTGATTCAAAAGCATCAAAGTCAGACAGTGAAATCAGGAATGTTTTTTCAACTAAGTTTTGGGACCAGGAGGAGGTAAGGCAGCTTCTCGAACCAGAAACATTTACTAACCTTAACTGAGAAGTTGAATGCGGGGCCAATATCTTCAAAATTATTCACAGTGGAAGGAATGTTATGACCAGAGTATACTTCATAGAAGTTGATGTTGGCAAGCCTAGTTAACAACCGTAAAACAATACATTTGAATTTGGCAGCTGCTTTGAAAACATATGTTACTGGATGTGCCTCCGTAAAACAGGTCAGAAGTACAGTCAGAAGAAAAATTGATCACTTGTACCACTGCTTCAATTTTACAAAGTTGGTTAAGAAAACGCACAGTGTACTGAAGTCCAGACCCAGAGTGAGCATGTGAAGGAAAGACAGGAGGGATGTGTGAGATGCAGGCTCTGCTCAGCCTCCTGCACCCCACGGTGTTTCAGTGCCATACTGCAAGCTCCTCTCCTGGCCACAAACTCTTGAGTTTCAGCCTTGCAGTCGTCTCCCTCCTCAGAAAGGGCCACCCAATGATCCCCCTTGGTACACATGTAACAGCAAGTGCCAACAGACCCAGGGAGATGCTGGGCCCTAACATCACAGGCAGGCTGGTTTCCACAACCTTCTTGTGTCCATGGTGCGTACTGTGTAGCCCTCGGGTCTCCTCTGGACCACTTTCTTTAGCATTAATGGGTTTCAAAATTTGAAATGTCCAAACTAACAAGAACACACACGGGTTACAGCCCACCACAGCATGACATTACGCCTGTATGACAGAAGTATGTGGTGCAAGGGCCTGTGGATGCTCAGGGGGTTCAGCCAGCTGGGGCCATGCCCCAAGACAAAGCATCCCCGTGTAGTGCACTGCATCCATCTGCTACCTGTGAGCAGCTCCTCTGCTGAACCAGCCCAGAACTGTGTCTACTCTTCATCATTAGCTTTTATTAGGAGGCTAATTTGACTCATCAAAAAGCAGACAGGGCAGTGAGTTACCAAGCAGCAGGGGCTATCATGATTCCTACATCAGCTCCTCCTGTAGCACAAATTGCAAATCCATCTTCTTTACTTGTGCTGCTCTCCCCACTTAACCTGGGTAACATCTGTGCATACAATCCCAAATTAACAAATGTGCAGTCTCATAGAGGTGCTTCCTCATCAGTCATGCTCCTCCGTACTGCACTGTGAATCCTTTTCAACCTTCCATACTTCCTCCCATAGCCCCTTTCCTTGAAGGTCCTCCTCACAAGGACTTCTAGGAAAACCTGTGTGATGTATTTTCTGCTTCCTTATTGCTCAAATCTTCAGTCCTTCCAGGATGCACACTGTCAGCTTCCTTGCCCTTTCAGGAGTCACTGGTAAAATTGATTCCCACCTCTTCTCCTGGAAACTCAGATTAGGAGATTTTCCCTAGAAAGCTTTCATTTCAGCAAGACAACACTTTTTTCCTCAAGCGTTATATTTCAAGAGGTTGCTTCTCGGCTATATTACCTGCCTCAAGAAGGAACTATCTCCAGATAGATATTTTCTAAGTGGAAGAGTGTAAAAATGAGTTAATTCCAAGAGAGGTATTTAAAATTGTAACCTGGGCTTAATGTGTACTTCCTTTAGATCTTTTAAATTGATTCATCTCCAAGAATAACTAATCCTTTTCTGGCAGTAGGGATTCCTTCATGCGTTGACTTGCATATGAAATTGCATTTGTGTATACTCAGGAGATGCATTTGCATTCAAACCCCCATTTTTCCTTGAGTAACTCTTTTAAATAGACTCCAAGCCCGGCCTTTTCTGAGGCACTGAGTTTCTGTTAATATTTCTCAGCTAATGAGATTTGCTGATTAAAGTTTGCACCACCTCAGTCTCCTATGAGGCTGCTGAAGTTGCTGTGCTAGGCACCTAGTCAGACGCTCCTGTAGTCTCTGTGTCACTGCCAGCTTTAGTAACACCCTCTTTCTGCTGAGGTCTCATCTCAGCTGAAAGGACTTGCATTGCTGACTCAAATGCTTCTCTGCAATTGAAATAATCTGAAAAATTCTGCACAACTTCAAAATTGGTGCATCTAGCTGTGGTGAATGCAGGACCTGCGAATATTCTGAAGCTGCTGCTGCAAAGCAGGTTATTAAATTGGCTTCTGTACTGTGGCCCCTATTCCAGCTCAGGTGATCCTATGCAGCCAATAGTTCTGGTAATCATGGTGGTGTTTGAATTCATTGTTTCTGTGCATTTTTAAGCACCTTCCTCTTTTTTAAATTTCTGCCATGCTTTGAATAATTACTATTTATTTTCTATCAGTTTATGTTTACAAACCTTGGAATGCTTCAGGATGCAAAAGCATTTTTTCACCAAGAATTGGCGACCAAGTGCGTTAAATACAACTACATGTAGTTTATCCTTGAAATTCAGTAATTGGGAAAGATAAACAAAGCATTTCTTTGATGAAAAGTAAAATACCCTATCTTGATCTGAAAGTCAAAACAGTGTATTTTGTTTCAGTTCAAATTTAATTTGAACTGTAACTGAAATTATTTTTGTTTGGAACAGTAACCAACTAATTACTATTTCAGTGCCTCCCAAATCACTGGGGCTTTCCAAGGCTGGAGATAAGAGGTTTCAAGGGCATGATATGAAGATCAGTCTTAAAGGGTTTTTTGTCTGTCTGTCTCCCTCTGCCCGCCCGGCTGTCTCTCCTTACAAACCGCCTGTCTCAGGGCAAAGGATCCCTCTTGCAACAGCCCTGACCTTCCTTCAGTGGGGAGGGGGAAGGGCTGACACCGAAAGGGAAGGGGTAGTTGTGAGCCAGAGGTTCTGCGTGGGCATGTGGGAAAGCAGGTTGTGCTGCTCCCCATGCCCATGCAGCTGCAGCAAAGTGGAATCTGCCATGTGCCCCCCCCCGGTTTTAGTTCAAATCATCCCTTCAAACTGCTAACAAGTGTTTATATTTTTGGTCCAGGTTCAGATATGTCCATAATTATCTCTTTTTTCTCCCCTCGTCCTCAGCTTTGCTGAGAGCATTTTTTTCTTCTTGTTCTTTTGTTTAGTTTTCATCACTTTACCTCCCTATTTGATCCAGCGTTATTACATGTGAGCCCAGAGGCTCAAATTACATAGCATATACAAATTATATTACTGAAATCACAAGCACTGCCTGTTTTTTATACCACTTCCATTCATGTGAGCATGTCTAACAATTGTGCAGAGGGAAACATAGATCCATAATTTTTACATGAAAAAATTATTGGAAGAACATAAAATTATGCTACTGTTGATGAAATGCGAATTTCTTACAACTTCCAAAATGAAAACAAAATTTCCCTATCTTTTCAGTGGCCTTTCAACAGTGGACTGTTACTATATTCAAATACCTTGGCAAAATGACACTGACTCTTTACTTTATTCAACATACCTTGTGAAGTGAATTTCTGCATCATATCGCAAAGGAATTGATAAGCTGACCTGGTTGTCCAATTCTTGCTCTTCCTTACTTTCGCTGTTTATCAGAACACATTTTAGTCAGGTGTTATTTTATACAAATAAGGTATATTATACAAATAATATCAAACTTGCTTTTATATGATTATATACTTTACCTCAATGCACGAAAACTTAGAACTGCCACATTCTGAAGATTTTTCAGGTTAAAATCAAAACTAATATCAAAAGATACCTATGGAAGAGACAGAGAACACACAGTAAATGAGCTGATGGTACAACATCCAAAGGACTTCTCAATAGCAACGTAATTATTCATATCTAGAATTGCCTTCTGTATATGAACTCTCTCCACCAATTTCTGTGCTATATTTCAGTAATTTATAATACTCCGGAATTGCTTTCTTCCTCACTTTCTCCTACAAATTGGCATTGTCACACATGAGCTATTTGCATTTTTAAATTGTCTATAGCTAGCTACATGCTGCAGCAAAAGGTGTTCAGGATTCACTCATTTCTTCCATTTGTTCCAATGGGTCCACTTTGACCAATGCCGTTAAAAATTCAGAACAAACTTAACTTTTAATATGCAATTAATTTTTTTTTATTTTGCTCCCCCTGCTGCAGGACATCATGTTTCTATTCTTTTTAGTGAGTTTCTTATTCCACCAGCTGATTCTCTTAGAGGCTGGAAGCCTATTTCTCTTCTGCCCTTGAGGAATAAGAGATTAAGTTCCATAAAACCACGGATATCCCAAGGTTTATTATATATATGAAAAAAAGGATATAGCATCTATCCTACAGGTGCATGGACCACCCCTCTCCTCACAAAGCGATGCTGCTTTCTAGGAGAGATGAAATTCAGAGCAGAAGAGGGAGCTACCCCAGGTTCATGCAGGAGGAGGGGTTCGATGGGAGTTGTGCCCAGTTCCCAGGCTACGCACAGCACTCTCTGCTTCTGGCCCCAGCCCTCACCCTCCAAGAGTTACAAAGCTCTAGTAGGTTTTGAAAGCTGTGTGTAAGGTCAAAGTTGCTTCAAGACCCATTTTTTCCTTTAATCTGGAAGTTTAGCTCTTAGTTTGCTTCTTTTAATGCCTCTGAAACCCAAAGGCAAGTTGACTGTTGCGAAATCTAAGTAATCCTCACCAGGAGTAAATGCAGATTTAGGGGAAAACAACAACAAAGAAGCTTTTGGGTATCATTCAAGGTTATTTAAACATGCTAGCTGTACCTGTTGTCCTGTTCTGAAAACAGGATAGCTTATTTGGCAAATGACTGTACTTTGTGCTGTTCCTGTCTGACACGAGACTTCAGTCCCATCGCTCTGTAGAGGAAACAGACAGAAAAGTCATGCTAGTATAAGGTTTTGTTATAGCAAGAGAGAAAGTTCCCAGTTTGGATCTTCAACAGGAGATGTATTACATTAAGGAGTAGTACAGATAAGTGTTATGGCAGTAATTCTGAGAGATGCAGCAGGTGGGTGGGGAACAGGCAAGGGCTTGGAGAAAGGCAGGAGAAAGGTGGGACAAAGACCAATCCCATGCGATTTCTTGTGAGCTGTAATGATACTAGAATTTTGTGCTGGGCTGGGAAGAAGGAATACAGGCTTAAGAATACAGATCACCTCCAGCATTAACTCCTGTAGTGCTTTTTTACAGCATCTTTATAGAACTTTTTCAGCTGTATTTACATGACCTGAGAGCTAGTGAAGTACGCTCACTGTAGAAGTTAGTGTGCAGAGGGGAACTCTATCGTACTCTTTGTAGGAAAATCTACAAGACATAAATGTTTATTTACTACTTTTCAGAATATTTAGCATGTCATCATGCCACATCAAAGACAAACTTGTAGACCATAGCCAGTTATCATCACTTTGACAAGAATTCATTAAAATGTACTGTCTTTTGTTAAAAGCATCCCTACCAGACATTTACCATTCATGAGTTATGGTACCAAAACAAACGCCCAAAACAACACCCATACATTCTCAGCTTTAGCTTTTCTTCCTGCTTGAAGCAGACACATTTTTGGTCAAAAGCTTCACTTGCAGGGTAAAAGGCTTCTAAGCTAATGGCCTTTTAAAGCAAAAGAAAATCCTAGCTCCAGTGTGGTCTTTTGACATGAGTGCAATGAGCAATTTTGCTGCACAACAGGATGGGGAGGTAGAGGGTCACCCTCAGCGCTGTGTAGAGTATTTCTGCCAGTTCATTGTTCAGGAAAATGCTGCTTTTGGGCAGTGATGAATGCTCCTATCCCTCCTCTCTCTTCAGTATAGGGATTGCTCTGGACTTCACCCCTAGGATTATCACGCACCTCTCCAGTAGCAGCCTGGCCACATAAGCCAAGCACTGAAGTCTGGGTTTCATCCTTCATGAATTGTTTGGGAGCAACAGCGTAGATTATAGATTTACTGCATTCCCCAAAATAGTATGCATAATTCCTTTCTTTTCCCTTTCCTAAGACAAAATTCATTAGAAAAGCTTCTGGTATAGCAATCATTTAAATCTGATTAACTGTCTAGCTGGAACACACGGCCTTGGCAGAAATGCTATTTCTAGATCCAAAGTCTGTGCTTTAAGGCCGCATCATCAATGCTGCATGCTTGATTTATCAAATACAAATTCCCTGTGTCACAGCAACTTCATTCAGGCATGTTGTTGAGAGTCAAGCAGAAGATGCGGGTGCCAAGGCCTGAAGTGAGGAAAAGATGACTGAAATACTGAGGTGAGGTCAAATTCAACACTTTGCCAACTTTTATGCTGAGTTGGCAGTGTCTCTCCTTGACCTAAATAAACTGATATGCCGAAGGGAATAATTCTGGTATCCAAGAAAATAAATTGGGAGAGAGATTTGAACACAAATTCTTTCCTGGGATAGGCACTACTAGAAAGAAAAAATAATAATTTCTTTGAGAAGCTTGAAAATCAGTAGTAATAACAGAAACAGTGAGTATGGGTACCACGTACCGGTAAAGACGATGAAGCAAAAAACAAGTTGTCAGAAAACGTAGCCTGGATTCTGGTGTTATATGCATTTTCCTTTTTATTTCTCAATTTCACATTGAATGTCAGTCTTCTGTTTTTGCTGCTGACAACAAACTGCTGTTTGCTGTTGGAAAATAAAGTCCATTGTTGTAAACAGAGGTACTAGGACAGCTGTGGATCATGCAAATGTGTTCTCTGTAGTCAACAACAACTAACAAGCACAGCAGGACCATTCCTACGTTCTACATGCTTAAACGCTCTGCTTTATAAACCCTTTGACATAAAAAAGCTATGTGATGGCTTTTCTTAAAAGCAAATGGAATTAGTGTCTTCTCAAAAGTGCAGGACGTTGATTATATAATGGTCCAAGCCACTTTGCTGAATTTTCAAGGGCTCTAGTCTGGCAGGAAGGTGGGCAAAGAGTGGGAAGGGGACTTGGATGGCAACTTTAGGAAGAGGTAGCCCTGTCTCTCTGCGTACTGCACATGTATGTGTATACCTGCTTATGGACTTGGAATATGTGCTGCCTGAATGGCTGACCTTGGCTCCCCAGTGGCACAGCCTGCTGCAGAATCCTCACTGCTCCCTGTGGGAGGGACCAAGATGGCAGCTGCAGCCACTGCTGCTCTCCCAGTGAGCTCCCTTTCCCCACAGCCAGACACAATTCTTCTGAATGCTCACTGTGTCTTCAGTCCCTAAGGTACCAACGCTTGGTTGGTCTAAGCTGACAAGAGCCCTTCTTCTATACTTGTGCTCCTCTCATACCTCTTTTTCCCTGATTAGTTATCTAGACAGAAATGGTATTGGTTTTTTTATCCCTGCTATTTCTAAGTAGATGTTGAACTGGAAAGCCAGTCTCATCTAGAAATTCCAAAGCCTACAGATAAGCCAACTGGTAAAAATTTAACACCCGACACCAACAATTTCACTGATTCAGCTCTTACCCGTCATCTGCCTTCCGCTGAACATTCAGAACAAGATCACAGATACAAAGTTCATCTTCACCGCAGTCTTTAATAAAAGGAATCTATAAAAAACAAAAACATTTCCTAATGACAACGCTTCAACTTTAAAATTATCTATGGACAGAAGAGTGCAGATACCTTTGAGATGAAGCCCATTCTTGGTTTACAGATAAAGAAGATCCCTCTGACTGACACATGAACAAGTTAACACTGAATAATATGTTACTACATGCAACTGATCACTAAGAATGGTGCAGATGGGTTATTGTTAACCCACAACAAATGCAATGTAATCAAAGGAGTTCCATCTCTTTTTTTGTACACTCTTTTACTGTAGGCTAAACTAACCTAAAATAGTTCATCTTTGCCATCAACTAGAAGGTCACCTCAACGATGATGTGGCTCTACCAACATGCTTGTTATGCCATGACGGCTGATGTGTATGTGTGTATGTGAGCAAGCCCATGCAATACAGACAAAGGTATGAAAGGAACCAGGGAACACCCCCGTGCCCACCCCAGATGGTTGATTTTGGCCCAGTGACTTAACTAGAAGACCACTTTTCACTTGCATGTACCTCTTTGGTCAGAGCCACATATTATGAAGGTGTGTATAGCCATGCATTTTTGGACAGTAAGTCTGCATACTTACGCTGTAGGCCACAGATGCAGGATAATATATATCAAGGACCGGGCTGGAGCCAGGGTTTGCAAGGCCAATGTCAATGCGCAAACTAAGGGAATTCACTGCATCGGAAGGTTCCTGTAAAACACATGGTTCAGGTGACAGCTGTCAGCACAGCAAACAGGGTAAAATCTGTAATTCTGTTGTAAATTGAGAATGCACAGTAAAGTCATACTTGCTCTAAACAAGAAAAAGTAGTAGTGCAAAGCTTAATTTCTTGACCAAAATAATTTTGTGAGATTGCCTAGTATGGGTTCCTCCTACTAAACAGCTTTTAGTGTCATTTCCATGATAAAACTTGCTTTCCTAGGATTCCTGGAAACTCCATTCATCACACTTCTAGGGCAAAGGAACATGCAGATTCTCTGTAGCTGCAGAAGCTTGTTCTCAAAAGCCACCACTAGGTGACCTTCATTCTTACCTGGCTGCAGAAGTCAGATTCCTATTTCACTCTACCTTACCATCAAAGAGAGCAGCTGGGCATGAGCAACACTAAATCACAATATACCTCATGTCTTCTCCATTTCTTAGTATTGGATGAATACTCTTCTAGCCCCTCTAACCCATATCATGGCTCCATAATGGCACTAAGTGTGATCAAAAAGTCAAAGATACTTGTATTGCAAAGAAGAGCAGGAATCAAAGTCCTCTACCTGACCTAGTGTCACGCAGGGGGCTAAAGGCAGCTCTCAGACATATGTTTGGTCTTTGGTTCTAGAGAAAGAGGGAGACTTTCTTATTTTTATTTTTTTCCTAGGTGTATTACCTAAGCCTGGCATGTACCAGAAGTCTGCTTGAAATGCTGTTTATCTAAGAGAAAACATTTGCATGTATGTCAGTTCTTACAAAAGAATCTACTCAAAGGGAAATTAAAATCTATTGAAATTATAGACTAAGGGCTCTGTGTTATGTCAGAGCTGAAGTACATAATGAAGAACAACTTCTAAAAAGTGGTGCTGAATTTGACAATTATTCATTTCTTTGAAATCAGAATCTTACTAAGTATTTTTCAGTTATTGGGGATTTGAGAAACGTAAATCATTGAGTAAACTATGCATAAAACTAATCATCTTCCTCTGATCACTTTTGTTACATAAGGCTGCTTGCAATTGCACCTACCTGTACGCTGAAAACATCATGAACACAATTCTCCTCATGATGTACCACAAGATCCCTCTGCAAGTACCTCTCATTATTTTCTTTGAACAGTCCTCTAGAAGTCACTCTTGAGGACTGAAGATCTGCATCCAATGTTGCATTGTACTTTATAGCTACAAGAAAAGTAACAGTACATTTTTTGCTGAGTATGACTGCCCATGATCTCATTACTATGCTCAATGTTACTGAATGATCAGGCTTTCCAAACCACAGTAAATATTTTACTTTTGTCGTAGCTTGCTAAACGCAGAGCCGTCTCAAAATGATAAAATTTTCTCATGTGTTTTCCAAAGCAGTCAAACAGGTTTAAATCCTGACGTAAGTTCTCATCCACAGAGAATACATTAAATGGCCATCAATCCAGTCTCCACTGCAGATGTTTGAGCCGCAGCTCAGGCAAGAAGCCAGTCAGCAGGGCCAGGATTACACTAGATAAAGGGGCCTTGCAACAATAGCCCTGAACTCTGAGGAGACTATAAAAAAATCTGCATCTTCTCTTCAATCACATAATAATTTCTGTCGTTTTCTCTTCATCTTATGACTAATACACTGTGGAAGTTCACTGTTATTTTATACTCACAATCATGAGTTCCTAAAGGCACTACACATAGCACTGAAGCACTCCAACTGGTGCTATCCATGACGTGTACTTTTAACTAAATAGCTTCATGAGAGGCCAGTGCTGGTCTCGGAAATATTTAGTGCTCTCCTGTCCTCTGAAAAGAAGAGCTTCTGCCCACTGACATCTGCACTGAGCCTATGGATTATTTTTTTTATTTTTCCTGCAGAGAAGAAAAGTGTGCAGCCTGCTGTTGAAACCACTAGGCTGAAAAAAATCAGCTTCTCACTAATGACATTTTCTGGGTTTTGTTGAACAGCTCTCCTTTATATGGTTAATTCCTCACTTTTCAAAGATTATGGAGCCAGTGTTGAAAGGAGGCCCTAAAAACACTTTCCTAAGCACTTACGTTTTATATTGATTTTGCCTTGACATTCAATCTAATATATCTTTAGAATTTCCCTACTCTGAGTAATGGACTTTTAAAGAAATTAATATGACACAAGTTATTGAAATACTCTTACCCACTTGATTATTTCTCTTAACAGGTCTAAATGTAGCCTGAAAACATATTTTGACAGTTATTTCTGTATTCTTGTTCAGCAGACTGATTTTCTCAGGTTTAAATGAGGCAATTATGGAGACACTTGCAATGCTTCGTGACCTGCAAAATATTTTTAAAAGGTTACATGTGGTTTCAAGAGCACTGGGTAACATAGAAACTGTTGTCTATTACTACCTATAAAGGTAACATAGATTTTTTTGGTTTTCAATGTAAACATTTTTTAATGGCAGTAGTAAAAGTATTTTTCTTTGCATAGAAGTGAATGTGTTGATACAGTAGCTTTCAGTAAGGACAACAAATAATTTATCATGTCAAATTAATGGATAATCAATGACTTTATCCTAAGGGAAGGATTAGAGCATTGGGATATCAGTTTTCCCAATAAGTAACAGATTCTTCTGCTCCTTTAGGGAAGCTACTGGGCTCCTCTGAGAAGGCAAAAAAGGGTAATTCTTCATTTTAATTAATACTCTTATTTTTCAGAAAAACAACTTTCATGTAATTAATCAAGATTTTGAAGAACAGTTTCAAAGGAACCCTGCATGTAAAAACAAACACTTTAATCAAAAGTGAAACTCCTTAATCAGACCAAATGCCAGAGTGAAATGAAAATGAGCATCTTCATTAATCAAAACTAAATAAATGCTGGTACTCCAAGGAGCATAATTTTCTTTAATGCAATTCCCACCCGCACCAGCAGCAGTTCTGTTGTGGGTCAAAGGTCCATACTGACCATTCATTTTTAATAATCTTGTTTCATTATGAAATAAGTAGCAATTCAGTCATGTTTTTCTTCTCACAATGGGGAGCCTCAGGCGAGAAGACAGGCGACAGATAGGAAAGCAAGCTGCATTTTAATTTAGCTCCTCAAGGAAGTAGTGGAAAATACACAGTACTTAGGGAGGCAGAAGATTTAGCTTCTATGAAGCCTTTCTTCTTTATTTGGTGGAAGCACTCAGATTGCTCTGGCAAAGGCCACATGCCAAAAAAGATAGTTTTCTTGCCAGAAATAGTTGCCAACTCTCTTTCACTATTCTCTGTTCTTACCCTGCAGGACAACCCTCTCCCCTAGATCAACCTACCAACCAGTGAAGGTCACACAGGTTGTGTGGGAGGTGGTTTCACCTGTCTCAGGCTCAGCTATCAAAATTATACCCTGGCTACTGAAGTCCCTGCAAGTCCCCTTCCCTGCTGCTTCCCCTTCTCCCTGGACCACGTGTCTGCACAGCAGCAGCAGCCAGGGGTGTCTCCTGGCTCTCCCCATCCAAGCCCAGGTCCTTCCTGGCAGCCCCCACCACTCGGCTTCCGCCGGCGTGCCCTGTCTCGGCCCCCCACGCTGCCTTGGCTTTCCATGGTTTGATGATCCATGCTTAAAAGAGGTTTAGTCTAATGCTGTTTTTCAGCTAGCTACGATAGCAGCAATGAGGCAGTAAGTATGTTAGCTCTGAACACATGGAATGAAAGAGCTTTTTGGTTTGTTTGTTTTGATGTTTAATTAGCTACATGCTCAACTTGCATTTGAATCATTAAGTGTTTCCTTTCTAAAAGAGTTTACCAACCATAGCAGAACCACATTTCCATCAGCACCAACTGATACGTCAGTAATGCCATCGTCATCTAAGTCTCTATGGCCATCTACTGATCTTCCAAAGAATTGGAGCCGTTGTCCAAAAGCAGAATCCGATCCTAAAATTTTCTGGGGAAGAGAGTTTGGTTACTGAGCTTGCCACAAGCTTGCTTAATTCTGCAGATAGCATCCTAAGCAATGGATTTTCACTGGTATTCCCTGTATATGCTATGTATTGTTTAAACATAATACTTTTGTGGATATTTTCTCAGATGCTTTTAAGCACTTTTTCCTCCCCTGTTGGAGCAGACAATGGACTAGATTTTTCTGTCTTGGGTGCAGATCAACTAACTGACTGCTGTATGCCAGCTAGTACTTACTGAAAACTTTTTCCAGCTCACATTGAGCAACTCAAAGAATAGGAAGCTTAACCGGGCTTCTAACAAATACTTTCTGCAACCAGAAAGTCTGCATGGAAATTGACATTATATTAGCTTATAGGATAGGCAAAGACCCTTTCTTTTCCTTTAATATTTGTAATTTTCATCTCCATTGCTGTACATCAACCCTAAAAACCGGAATAACGGGTGTCAAAAAATGTACAGGAAATTAGCTGACTTCACATACAGCCACCAAAAATTCTAAGAGGCTCAGATGGAGCATCTTGCAACTCCTCTTCCTCTATATGCTTCACTTATAAGCACAACAAGATCAACCAGGGCTTGCTGACAGCTGAATTAAGGAGAGGCACAAAATTTAAAATAAGCCACGGAAATAACAGTAATCCTTTAAGAGGATGAAACAATAGTCAATTAAAATACAGGAAATCCTTCTGTTTTCCTCTAGCAGATCTAAAGGCATGGAGTACAATACTATGCAACAAAGTTAATTACCTGAGAATATTTGGTACGTATAGTCTTTTGAAATCCATTGTAAATGTAAATTGCTCCAGAGTTTTGGTTTTCCAGTGGTGCCCCTATTACAACATCATTAAAGCCATCCAAGTCAATGTCTGCAAGGGTTGCAATCGCTGATCCAAAGCGAGCGTTTTCTGACCCCTGTGGACCTTCCAAGAGTTCTCGTTGATCCAAAATTCCCTTTATAGAGGGAAAAAGAAGAAAAAGCAAAAACACAGCTATCATTGCACTAGATTAGACATAGGAGCAGTATCTATGTGCATTGTTTTTTGTTTTTGTTTTCCAGTACATTCCCCTTGGACTGCTCAGCCCTGAATTCCTTCCCCATTGTATTGCCCATTCAGTTTGCATTATGTCTCAGAGTCTTGGCAAGCATTACACAGCAGAATTAAAGCATGCTATGCAAAGGACTAACAGCAAATATAACCATATGTATGAAGCTTAAACGCTCTCACTGTCCTCATCTGACTGTTCTGAAAGTTTCACAATACATTGAAAAATACGGTTTCCAGTTTTGGATTACCAGTTTTTATGCAGAGGGAATGGAAATTATGTAACTGGACATAATTCTTTGAAACAGAAATGGAATTTCCTAACTAAACTAATGCAAAAAACATGTGTCCAAATGCTAAACTCCTGACCTCTCCAGTGCCAATGAAGAAAGAAAGATTGGAGATCTTTACAGTTAAATAATCACATTCACACTAGCTAAAATTCAACTCTGGCAAATATAATTTTCATCTTTAACCGCAGTTAAAGGTGCTTGTGCTTAAAATTTTAGAAATACCAGCCAAGTTATTTATTAAAAATGACTAGAAAAGTATTATTTGCGCAACCTTTTACATAAATCCAGGTTCTTTAAAAAAAAAGAAAATTATTATTTCATTATTTTTAATTTTAAAATAATTTTAAACCTGGCATTTGACAAAGAATAAATATTTTAAGGATAGTCTTCCAGTTTATTCAGTTTTCAAAACATGAAAAAAATGTCCTTCATTTTTCTTCCGTATTTCTCTAATTCCAGACTCTAATTCCAGAGTCATAAAGACCAATGTCAGCTGCCAGCAGTACTACTTCCAGCACCTCCATCTACCTTGAAATTTCCTTAGGGAAACTTCAGCTGCTGCTGAAGGAAGGTGGTCCTTCCTCTCCATTTATGTGATTGCAATTTACCCAGTAAAAAAGGCAGTGTTCTGTTTTCTCTGATGGATGGCAGGTATTAATTTACTTCGCATATCCATGCATCCAAAGATTGACTGAGAGACTGTTCAAAAGTGCCAGAGGCTGCGGGACTGTTAATACATATATTCTGAAAACACCTACCACAGGTCTGAATAAAAACTCTGTCAGTCAACCATCAAAGAAATAACATAGCTTCACTGAACAAAGGAGACAATGTGAGCAACCATCCAGTGTGAAAGTCTACAAAACAATGCAGAAAACTGGGCATTTTTTAAAACTGGTTTGGGACTACTGTCAGGTATTGAACAGATTTGCCTAAATCAAATGGCAAACAATTAGCAAAAGCCTTCAGCTAAGCTTTTTTTAGAGAAATGATCAACCTTGTGTTGTATTTGTGTACAGTGCCTGGCACAGTGCCTAAAACCAGGACCAGTGAGTCACCTACAGCAGCAGGTTCCTGCTTAACTTTTGACTGCATTTTGGTCTGTTCCAGATGTCTTATTCCCAGATTACATGCAGAGGCAGCTCTGGGGAAAGTTTGCAGCTGCTCCTGAAAAGCAGAATGGGCGAGATTGCACCGGGCAGGACTCCGGGCTCCACCTGCATTCCCCTGGCACCATTCACCCCTGCCCTTATCCCACACCCCAGGAAAAGCTCATGCTCCGCTTCTCGTTACGAAAAACACCGCTTGCGATATTTTGAGCACTTTGAAAAAGACCCACGAAATCGTGACCTAGAGGCCCCTGAAAAGATCCAGGGCCAAAGGCCTTTTAGCCTGCATGTGGCCAGTGTGCTTTGAAATAAGTCAGCAATGCCGGCTTGAGCGAGTCTGCTGCACCAGTTGGCTGTGGGGCCAGAGACCGCTCTTCTGATCACTCCCTTACTTAACAGAACAGACAGTGCCACTGAGTGCTACTGCAGTTTGGACTGCTTCTTCTTTGGTAAAACTGTAGTCCAGGAACAACAGTAAAACCCTGCAGCTGCAAATGAAAATGTCAGTGCTTAGCATGGACAGAGAGGCTGGAGGCTGGTCCCAGCTTTGCGATGGTGCCATTCTTACCTTTGTGATGGAAAACATATATACTCTCCCTTCCTCTTTTTTCAGGTCATTCATAAACATCGGTGCACCCACAAGTAGCACATCTGTCACAGAATCCCTGTTAACATCCACTGAACAGACCACGCTGCCAAAGTAGGAGCCAATCTGAAAGCAGTAATAAGAGAGCAGTGTTTGTACGTGGATTTTATAAAGCATAAAGTTTCAGCACCTGACTCAGAAAACTTACACCCAGAAATAGTCCAATACTGCCCATTGGAATGAAATTGATATATAGCATATTCCTGTGTTTAAGAATCATATCCTTCTGATGTGCCCACTGTTTCTGCCCAGTAGCTGCTGCTATGGTCTTATCACTCAGCAATAACAATGCAAACAGAGAATAAGCTATGGAAGGTATACTTTTTTATATTAAGCTGTGCATATGAAACTACCCAATCTGACTTGCTCTCAGATTTGTCTTACAAACAAACAGAAACCATGTAAACTCTTTGCTTTTTTCCAAAGGGAGAAAAAGAGAATGAGCGTCCAAATCTCTCTTTTGATGTCATCTACTTCACAACTTCTCAGGCAGAGTGGACCTTACTGAGTCTCTCCCAGTTAGGCCAGGTTGACAGAATCATAGAATGCTTTAGGTTGGAAGGACCTTAAGGTTAATCTAGTTCCAACCCCCTGCCATGGGCAGGGACACCTCACAATTAGGCCAGATTGCTCAAAGCTCCATCCAGCCTGGCCTTGAACACTTCCAGGGATGGGGCATCCACAACTTCCCTGGGCAACCCATTCCAGTGCCTCACAACCCTCACAGTGGAAAATTACTTCCTGATATCTAATCTAAACCTACCCTCTTCCAGTTTGAAGCCATTACCCCTCATCCTATCACTACACACCCTTGTAAAAAGTCCCTCTCCAGCTTTCTTGTAGGCCCTCATTAAATACTGGGAGGCCACTATAAGGTTTCCCTAGAGCCTTCTCTTCTCCAGGCTGAACAATCTCAACTCTCTCAGCCTATCTTCACAGGAGAGGTGGTCCAGCCCTCTGATCATTTTTGTGGCCTTCCTCTGGACTCACTCCAACAGGTCCATGTCCTTCTTGTACTGAGGGCTCCAGAGCTGCATACAGGACTCCAGTACTTGTGCTGGGGTCTCACCAGAGTAGATTAGAGCAGCAGAATCACCTCCCTTATCCTGCTGGTCACACTTCTTTTAAGGCACCCCAAGATACAGTTGGCTTTCTGGGCTGCAAGCCTGCATTGCCACTTCATGGCACATTACGTAGTTTTGTATATTATCTTTTATCACTAGTTGGATGACTTCCTGAAATAGTGTTTAAGAATTACAGTTAACCTCATTGAAATAGTCTAGTGGCAGAGAAAAGTTCAAGTGGATTCTAAATGCCTTGCAAGAAAGACGGATTTTCAGAACAAATGCACTGCAATTTACTGCTTTGTCAATAAAAACAGATGCCTGCAAAATCTGCACTCATGACCAAAATATACATGCCTGCTCGCCTCTCTGGGACTGCACAATTATGATATTACCATCACTGTCAACATCATAAACCACTACTCTGCCAGTGTAGTTGGATCTTGGTGCGCCAGCAACAAAATAGACGGAGCTCTGAGTTGAGAGGACAGCAACAGAATAACCTGGGGAGAGAAGCCAACATTTATGTGTGTGAAAGACCATTAACAACAAGTTGTCAGTTCGTTATCCATAAAGGCACAGAGAATGAGTCAATCTGGTATGTTAGTTGCAGAGAATGATGCTTCCAGATGGGAAGTTAAGCTGTCACATATGCATAAAATTTGCAATAGTCTTCTGCAGGGAACAAGGCCACACAGATCAAGTTGAAGCAGGTTTGCAGAATAGCATGAACAATAGTTTAGCCTATTCAGTAAAATGCAGACCACAAAAATGTCATGCTTATGAAGGAGATAGGAAAAAGTGTTCAAAGAGTACCATTGGAATGAAGAAATAAAGAGAAACATGAGATGAACATTTGGGCCAGCCTTCAAACCAGGAAGGAACACCTAGCTTCTGCAAAGCTTGCAGTGCATTTTCCCACAGCTCACCAAACCACAGCCCAGTGTATTGGCTGAATACAGCAGGCTATATTAATGGCTTTTCAGCTGAAGGGCTTAGGCTGATTGAACTTTTTTGAACATTTTAATCCTCATTCCTATTATTCTAATATCATTTGCTTTCAGGAAACATCTTTTAGTACTTGAAAATATTTTAAACATGTATTAGCGCTATAAAGCTAGCATTACTACATATTGTACATTTCTGTGGTTTAATCACAGCAAACTTATTGTAAGAGAAGAAAACAAAATAATAATTTATAAAGACTGTAGTTTAAACTGAATAGCAAAATCCCAGTGACTGGGCAGAATATGAAGGTCTTTAGCAAGCTCCATGTGAGGAGCACAGTCTAAAAGGATTATGCCTTGATCACTACATATACCAGTCTAATTCAGACTTGTGTTCAGTCACTCTTTTTCTAGGGAGAGAACGTCATTGGAGACTAGGAGTTCAACAAGCAACAACAAAACAAGATTTTATTCTCTAAGTTAAGGATACACATCCCTAATTAATACAACATGCAGCCATTTGAAGTGAGAGAGTGCAGTGCAGAACGTGGTCCAGTCTAGCAAGCCATGATGTGCTAGTAGCCCTTTAGCTTGGCACTGCCAAGCTGGCGAGAGAGAGTTGGCACAGAGAGCTTTTAGTGGGGAAAGGAGGTGGAAAGGAAATGAAGGGACAGAAAAGGCAACAACATTGCTCGCTCCAAAAAGATTGAGGCCAATACTCTAGAAAGTACTCCTTCCCTTGTGGAGAAGTGCTGAAAGAATATGACCTTATCTTTTTAAGAATTATTCTAGAAAAGGGAAGAATAGAAAATCTGAAGAGGTCACACATGCAAAAGAGCTACTTCTAAGCCATGGGAAATGTTAGTTGCCAAAGTAGCATCTCATTAAATAACTCAAAGGATAAGAAAGTCTTAGGTGCTTAATGTAGCAGCATTATTCAGGAATGAATCACCAGAGCAAGCATGTTGCAGGTTTGCAGAAAACCTTTCAGTGGACTGAGAAAACAGAGTGGCTTTACAGGATCACAAAAATATGCATCAGAAAATATATTGGGGTTATAAATGAGACCTCTGTTAAACTGCAGCAATAGTCCTAGAACTATAAACTGAACTGGAAAAGACCAAGAAAAGAGTGAGCATGTGAGAACAAGTCAATCAAATTCTTATCCACATGTACACACAAATATTAAGACAAAAGGTACCCATAATCATCAGTAAGATACACTAGGCAGCCTTTTCAAATCCCATGACTTCTTATGTCTCTGTGACAAAGCCTGTTTTCATAATCATCAGTACCCATAATCATCAGTAAGATACACTAGGCAGCCTTTTCAAATCCCATGACTTCTTATGTCTCTGTGACAAAGCCTGTTTTTTTTTTTTCAGCTTACCATATTGATACAAGTAGAATTTTAAAAATACAATAAGGATTTCAAAGATTTCATTCAATGACTTGTTGACCATTTAATAAAATCTTTTAGGATGCAAAATTCTTTCCATATTCTCAAATCAGTTCTTAACAGGAGTCTGACTAGAGAGCAGAATTTCCCAAGTTCTTTAATATCTTAATAAAGGTTTGACAGATTTCCAGATTTGTATTTCAGTCCCTTACCTAGATAAGAACTATGATTCCTGTCCTGGAGAATTTTTTCAAACACATGGCTTGGAAAGGTGGTGATGCTCTCTGAAGACTCCTGAACTACTGTTCCACTCCAGTCGTAGGCCCCAACAGCACCCAGAAGCAGAACATCCTTTAAAAAATAAACCACAATATTTTAGAACTACCTATTTCAGAAAAAGTGTGAGCGAAGCTGAAGTTACCATTAGTAATTTCCTACATCACTGTGTTTAAGGCAGTCTAATGACTGCAAGCAGTTGACTGGAGCTGCTTATAGGTACCGCTTATACGCAGGACTTTAGTGCCCTATTAAGAGGGATTATCACCCCTCTACTGCGAGAGAATAAGTGACTGCTTTAGCTCCTGGAGCACTGCAAATCAAGATAAAATGGGTTTATTTAAACCTTGTGATAATTTCCTAAGCCTGTCCACCCTGGGGTTTGGCTTGCCAAGTCTATGCTTTTATGCTCTCATGATCCTCAGAAGACTGAGAATCAAACAAAACTGTAAGAAACAGCTAAAGACCCCCTTTTGCCAACAACAGTGCCAAAGCTAGCACACAAAAACTGATCGAAAAGACGACACAAAATGTCATACTTTAAGTGTTTTGCAAGGAGCTGTTCTTGATAGAACAGTTAAATATACAATCCAAATTAATATGGCTTATTATACAGAATACACAATACGGAAATACTTAATTTTAGACTTGTACACATAAACCAAATATGGCTTAGATTATTCACATTATTAACATTCTTTACTGAATGGAGACAGTCTTATAGAAAACTGCAGTAAAAATAATATATGTGATTCTCCTGAAGAAAATCCAAAATATTTCCCATTTTTTGCCATTTACTAGCTTTGAGTGTTTGTTAAATTTAACATTCAATTTCTGCAAATACAGAGGAATTTTAAAAAATTATTTAATTCATCTTTAAGGGCTATGAGAAAGAAACAACCTTTCTGTATTTTCAGTTGAGAGCAGCTCGAACTACACCTGAATTTTACAAGGAGAACCTATTTGGTCAAGATAACCTTAAAATTGATTAGCAAGAAATATAAGTCTTATATACTATTTTAAGTGAAGTATACTTTAAACAAACAGTATTAACTTTATAAATATTAGACAAATTCTTTTCAGACTTGATTTACTTACATCTTGTGACTGCCTAGAAATACACCAGCTTTACAATATGGTCTCAATTCTTCTGAGTTATTCAACTACAAAATATTAACTTGGAGCAATTGAATTTTTCATGCTATATGAACTCAGAAATCACCAAAATAATTGGATTAACACCTTTCAGAATCATTAAATGAAAGAAACTATTACTCAACCTCATATATTAATGTATATTTTTTCATTTCAGGTACATTCAGCATCTATTATATGGAATGTTTGTGGTATTCAAATGCGAAAAAAAACAACCAAACACAATAACCTGGCATTCTCCTGACTGTAAAAAAATCTGAAAATTGGTCATTGTGTTTTATCAGTATTATTTTGTTGCACTTCTAAGCATTTGTGTCTATGTAATTGCATCTATTTGTATCATTAAAATAATTAAATCCACATACCTTTTTATGTGAGTAATACGCACTGAAGCCCACCTGTGACATTTCCATTTGGAATGTATCACCTTGATCTGTACCTGGTAAAACAAGTATTCACATACGGTTAACTCTACTAAACAACAGAAGTGATCCAATATTACCATCTCTGAGTGTAGCTATAAAAGGGCTGTATGTTATTTTTTACAAATCCACCAAGTCTGCTAAAACATTTCCAACAATTACAAACAACAGAAATCTGAAAATTAATACAGTGTAGCATATTTGGAGAGTTTAATGGCTAATTGGTAAGATGGAACCACGATGCTCTGAGTGTCTTTCAAAAAAGGCAGAAGATGATGATAAAGATGGCTGGAATTAGTCTGCACAATATTGTCACTGTGGATAATCTCTTTTTATGTTTCCTAGGAAGTACTAATAATGTACTGAAATTAGCACCTTTAATAACTGTATATTCACAACTTTCAAATGAATGCTTATTATCATATAGGACTTATAAAAGTGTTTTAATTGTCCTGAAAAATACTATGACATGCAGGAATATGTTCTAAGACAGATGGATGGGACTCGGCTGACAGTAATTCAACAGGAATATAAAAAACCTCCAACCCCTTTGATGATTAGCATCACGGGCCTGGTAAAGAATAGACTGAGGTGGAAGAGGAGGGGGGGAGGAGAGGAGAACCCATCCTGAGTTTAGGAGGGCTGAGGACAGATCATAAGCATGTTCTAAATTTGGCTCTAAAAAGCTGGCTTTCGGGAAGGATGAAGTGCCTCTGAGCCACCTCTACAGCACCTTGCACCAAACAGTACCCAGAGGACTGTGGCTGATGCTAGGGACAGCACCTGGTAAACGCCACGCAGATTGCATTACCATAGCTTTTCAGTTCTGTAATCAGTAACCTAGTCTTCTGATTTGCTTTTTAAATTCACAGTTGCTTAGCATTAACAGAAAAACAGAGGTGAGTCTGACAAGCATAGAATACCTTTACTCCTCTGGTGGTAATAGCTCTGAATACATTTGTATACATATGGACAAGCTCCCAGCGGGTGTCTAAAGCCCAGGACTTGACTGAAATTTTCATCATCAGTATTTCCCACAAACTGCAGAAACTAACTTGAAGCTCAGACTCATTAGGGGTGGAGTAGCTGGGGGCACACCTGTGCAAACCAGAGCCCTCCCAGGGAGCAGGACTTGTTTTCACAGTACTACACTAAGGTGAAGCTAAATAAAACCCTTAGTTCATCAGCTGGGAGAATCATGTCTAATTTTTCAGAGATATGGAGTATTTTACCTTCTATACTAAAAATGCGCTCTCCGAGTGTTCCTGCTTCTTCCAGTAGAGCAGCCTCAGATGACACATTGAAGAAATACTTGTCTGTTGGATGACTAGCAATTCCTTTGATTTCTTTAATTAAGTTTTTAGTATCAAGTTCATGCCTGATTAGGTATCCCAAAACCTTGTGTAAAAAAGAACAAAATAAGAAGAGTGAAGGAAATCATGGCATTACTGCCTTTCCTTCTATATTTTTGATTAAATATTCTACATCTTAAAAAAAAAAAAAATTACCTTCATTCATACTACTGATTTGCTTATCAGACTGTATTCCCCCATAAGGGACCATTCAGATTGGAAAAATACATAAACCAAGGCAAAAGAGAAAAACACTGAAATTGCTCAGGTAATATTGGTTTTGCTTTTTCAGCCAGTACAAGAAGACCAACACTTCACTAGTTCATAAAGATTAATTTTACCTAGTTTCAGTCTGCAGTTTCAGTGTAACAATGCATGGATTATATACAGCTCATATATAGAACATGCACTTTCATACACATACCACAAGATGACGTTTCAAAAATTGCAATAATATATGTAATTATAGTATTACTTACAGCGATGCCAAATCTGGTTATGTTGTCTTCATTGCATTTACCTATCACTGTCTTCAAGTTGGAGCCATCATGTGATTCACCATCTGTCACAACAACCATTACTTTTGTGGCTGTGGGACGTCCTCCCGATTCAGGTGAGAAGGCATGCTGCCTGTTATAAAATATTGGATTTATCACGTTAATTTATAGTGGATAGTATTCGGTATATACACTGCAATGAATATGTCCATCACTGACTTTGAACAAGGTGCATCTGTAGTGGTTTTTATTTGGAAATTAGCAATCTGCAATAAGAGTTTTCAGTTATGCTCCTGATGGCTTCTTTTCAAAGCACTGCTTTAAAGAGCCATCAGAAATGTAATCAAGGATGTAGAACAAATCCCAAAAAAACCAAGTAGGACTGGATGGTATTTCTGATAGAAATACACATTCCAGGAAAATAATATTTTTTGTACAAATATTTCAAAATAAAAAGGGGCCTTTTTGTCACAACTTTTAATGTTTTCTAACACCAGAGCATCCAGGAATTGGTTCCACCAAATTCAGACAAAGGGGAAGAGTAATAATATTAATATTATTAATAACAATAATAATTCAATACTACTGCAATTACAGACTCCATTAAAAGCTGAGTGTCCCTAAACATGATTTTTGAGGTCATTTCATTCAGCATGTATTTTGGCCTAGAGTCCTGTCCTTGATTCAACTGCAAAATAGCATCTTCCTATTGAGAAACAGACCTGGTTTCTATAGGTATTCAGAGTCATGGTACATGGTTTTAAGTTTTTCCTATTTTCCATGCTGCTGGTGCTGCAGTGACAAACTGACAACAGACAGATTTTATTTCCTCTGCAATCAACCAAAGCCTGACTGGCACACACGAATGCTACGGTCCTGCTGAATCCCAGGATAAACTTTACCTCTTCCTTATCTTTACTTATATCTTTCCTAAAAGCTTGTCTGTGATGGTTGATGCACTGTCACATTCAGACATCTGTGAGAGCCCAAATAATTCTGCTGGGTGTAAGGCAAGCTACAATAATTGCACAGTAATCATCAATGGGTTTTACCTTGCATAGTCAATGGCTTTGAAAGTATTAGTTAGATCGCCTCCCTTCTGAAACGTTCCCGCCATTGCTTTAACAACCTCATCCTTTGTTTTATATGTATTCAAGTTGAACACTACACGTGGATCATTAGCATACTGAATTAAGCCCACCTATGCAATAAAGAAATTCTGTTAGATTATCACACATTAGAATCAGTTACATAGAATCACGACACTTATTTATTCGTCAGGTTGGAGTAAAAGCTCTGCAGATGCACTTGGGGTTATAATTTTCTTTTAACACATGAAACCAATTAATATTAACATGTTTGAAAGCAAAGAAAGCTAAAATCCTCTTGCACCTTATGTCATTTATTATGGACTACTATATGTTAATGTAAACAATCTAAAATAGTAGGCATTAAATGCTTGGTTACTTCTGGAAGCATTAACACAGGGAGCTCTGGGAAAAATGAGAAAATAGCAAAAATTATACAAGCTGACAGCACCTCATTCTGATCTCTTCTAAGGAAATCCTAAAGGTTAGTTACTTGACAGCACTGTAAACCCTATTTATTTTTAACATAAATGAAGCTAAAGACATATGCTAAGATATACATTTAGTATGAAAGAAAACAAGAAGAGAAGATGCTAAAGATGACATTCAGAAAGGACTGAGCAGGAAGCCTAGCTTTTAAGCACCTCACTTCCAAAGTTGCCCAAGGAAGAAAGCAGCCTTTGGGAGAGAGATATTCAGTGCCCCAGTCTTTGTTCCCAGAACTGTCTATGGAAAATGGACAACTGTAAAGACAGAAAAATGCTTTTTAAAAAGGCAGTAAAATTTTCCTTACTGTCACCAAATTAAAAGGAAAAAAGAACTCAAAGATCAGACAGTAACCAAGCAGGAAAAAGGTCCTATTTTAAAAAAGCAGCAGTTGGAAAGTAAGAGCCAGATGAAAAGCCCATAAAAAAATCTGTTCTGCTTTTATCACATCCTCACCAACTACATTTTAATTACTTTTACACCTAATCCTCGAAAGAGATCTGACTCCACTAATATAACCTAGACTTCTTGAACCAAATGACTAATCCCTTTTGAAGTAGATTAGCTGCCAGATAAAAAATTCAATACTAAAACATATAGGACAACTGTGTAATCTGTGGCTTTTGGGGGAGGTAACGTAGTTACACTAAAGCACACTTGGTTTCATTTAAAAATGCTAACAAAACCCATTGTATTTTTTTTTTTTTTTTGTTCTTTCTCAAACATGTCTTTGACTTACCTGGGTTTTGTTAAGGCCTATGTCTAAGCCTTGTACAAATTTTTTCAAAAATGCCCGCACTGCATCCCAGGGATAAATGCTGTTTGACTCATCACAAACCACCACAATATCTACAACAGAGGAACACTCTAAAAGAAAAATAAAATTGGAGATTAAACACACTTTCAGTCTCAACATACTTACAACACTTTGGCTAAATCCAGAGGTGCATATTTAGGTCTCACACAGGCAGCACTTCAGATCAGGAAGGTTTTGCCAGAATGAGACCCATATGCAGATTTTAAGCCTGCACTGGTGCAATGGCTCTGAATTCAGAGGAGTCAGTCCATATTCATAACAGCATTGGATCAGGATTTATGAGTCTTTATGTGTGAATCACAGGACTTTGCTTTTTGTACATACATTTTTTAAAAAAAAATCCCAAATTAAGAGTCCCCGAAACAAAGTATCTTGAGTTTGTTTGATACGGTTTTTTAATTGAATCTGTTTTGCACATGTTGCCTTACTTTGGACAGCAGGAGAAAAGCTTCTTAGGATCTGGAAACTTGGACTGACTTCAGAACAGACTCCTGTTGCATAGTATTGGCTTCCACACTGCTGCGCCCACAAGGGACCACAAGTCTTTAAAAATAACAACAAAAAGAAAAGATAAAAATAACAACAAAAAGAAAAGATAAAAATAACAAATCCTTGTCTCCCCGTACCCGTATACAAAAGCACAATAAGCAGGACTGCAGGCATACAGGATCAGAGAAGCCCTCTTGGGTTATCCCTCACAACCACCACGGCAGCGTAACCCCTTCCACAGACTTTCTCATCCAAAGGATCTTCTATTCCTGACCGTCCTGGCGCCTCCGAGCTTTGCGCCGCCAAGTTTCCCGGTCCGCAAGGAACCCTGTGCTGCTGCAAAGCCACCTGCGCCGCCAACCGCGGGGTCTGAAACGCACCCGCGTTGCTTACTCGCACGCCGCCTGCGAGTATTGAGGAGCAATACCTCCAGTCGCCAGCAGGTGGCAGCCGAGCCACGGGCAGGCGGGTGGCGGCAGAGGGGCAGAGAGGAGCCTCCCCCTGCCCCCGCCTCCCGGCGCCACCAACAGCGCCCCCCGCCGGGGAGCTCCGCTAATTAATTGGAGAAAGCCGTGCTCCCCCGGGGTATTCACTTCGCCAAAAAGGCTGTTTGCGAGTTAAGACTTCATCATCCCCCAGCGAGGCTGCAGCCCTCACGGGTGTGTGCCGTCCTGTTTAGCTGCGGCTAAAAAGACAAGGTTGGACCTGGTCACACGTAACTACGTTTCACTGCCTTCTGGGGAAAATAATCTCGCTTCTTTCCTGAAAATTATCTCTGTAAACAAACAAACCACCATGTTTTCAGCTGGATCAACCAGCTGGCGCATGGCAGAAACACCTCTGATATTAGAAGGATTTTTACAAAATATCTGGACAAATACTGAGAAAGTATTTTGTCATGAGGATATGGGGGGGCGAGGAGGGAGTGGGGGAGGGCAAGAAGAAAGGGGATGGGAGACTTTCTTCTTAAAAGAAATGATGACATCTGTTTCACAGGCTCCAAGGACAGTGGTTTGCAGAATATGGACATAGTAAATATCTTCCTCCAGCTCACTAACCAAATAAAACATATTGCTGATCCACGGGACTAGAAATCGTAACACCTCAGGAGAACAGTCACTCTGCAACTGCATATGGTAGAGGAGACATTCCATGATGTCATTTGAAAGCATAATCAGAACTATACAAGACTGATTTGAAGACGTCCATGGTGGAAATATTCTTGCCTATCTTGTCTGACTTAAATTACAGACTCTTTATTATGTGCCCTTCGATAGGATATTTAGTAGGTAAATGATGAAGGAGAGAATTCATAATTTTCCTGATTTGGGACCGTAGGATGGAATATTTTAAAATATGCAAAATATGTATTAATCTATGCTGCAAAACAAAATACATTCAGCTTGGAATTATCAAAAAATGTGGAGAATTTTAGTTTTCCTATTCTCCTTAGGAATTTCTATATGTATTGAATATGTCCTTGTATACATACCAAAAATCCGCCTGTTTCTGAGTTCTGTATCAGAGTCAAGCCAAGGTTCATGTCTTCTTTTATCTCAGTCACATTTGGGATATTTATTAAAGCTGAAATAAAAAGAGATTAAGTAATGACAGAATAGAACACAGATGTAGAAGCAATTCAGTAAGTTATAATTCCTTTTTGAAAGCTTGATTTCTTCTCAGCATCTAAGATACCTCTTCCAAATGGCTGAAACAAATCTGAAACAAAAGAAATGAATACTAATCTTTGTCAAAAGTTTGCTAACCATTAACTATAGACATGAATTAAGTACGGCCATTTAGAGTACCTGCCCTCAAGAGAACTGGGGGTAAAAGAGAGGAAGAAAATGTTTAGCTATTGAGCATTTTTGGCTGGCTGAGTAGCTACGGCCAAGCAGCTACTGCTACATTCCTCAGGACACCAGACTCCTCTGATCCAGTATCAGGCTTCAGACAAAAACCCGGAAGGAGCGAGTAGAGGACATGCTCCGCACCGCAGATACACATAAAGCAGGCATCTCAGCTCACTCTGCTGCCCCATATTTTCACTGTATCCAAAAGTGAATCCCATTTTATACTCAGCCTGCAAACACACAGAGGCAGAAAAGGCTTCTTACAATCTATATTCACTAAGTGCCGTTCAAGATGAGAATGCAGCAAGTGTTGAGTGATGTAAGAGCGTGGTGGCCCCTTCCAGCTGCTCCAGGACCCTCCTGCCAGGCCATGGGAGCTGAGCCCAATGCCGGCTGCCTGGGGACTCTGCCCAGGCTGAGGGACACAGCATCAGTGGTGAAGCTGAGAATGTATTTGAGACACACACACACGACACCCACATCCACCACCCATGCCCGCACCTACCCCCTGACACACACACACTCTCATACACGCACACAAACACACTCTCACACAAACACACACAGGACAGAGAACGAGATTATGCAGAGAGATGGTTAAGAAAAGGTTTAATGAGGTAGATTGGCCTAGTACAAAATCAAGGAAAAACCGAGCAATTGTAGCAAGACATTATTTGTTACAACTTACCTTGCAAATTCAATTTTTTACAGGTGGTTTTGGATGAACCAACAGGACATGCGTAGATATCTCCAGTTCTGTTAGCCGGATAGCCACTCCAGGGTGAACCAACCAACAACCTAAAGTAACAGAAACTTCATTAGGTCTTCAGTGACATTGGAAAAGTCCAGCAGCATTACTGCATAGCACACTGTCGACAACGGGTAAGGAGGCTTTCACCAGATACAACACCTAAGGCACTAAGGAGTCTGCTCCAGAGCTGTTCAGCAGCTTTACTTGCCTGTGAACACACTGGGTTCACCAGGGGCAACTTTGCTGGAGAAGCTTCTGGGTATTGGGCTGCCTCAAATCTGTATATTGTTATTTCTGTGACATTATGTTGTGGTGTCAGAAGAAATAAGGCAAAGATAATTAGTATACGCAGACGCGCACAAATTTAAAACTAGGTATGTTAGTTGAGTGAGAGACAAAAAAATTACTGTCCTACCAGTTAAGGGTTAACTGATTCCTTCTAAGTTATTCTTTTAGCTGTTAAGAACCATTTCCTACAGGATCAGCTCAGCAACAGTCACATGCTTACATCTGAGCTTGAACACTACCACACCTTATGAACATTGAGTCAGAAAGAAAATAATGCAGGTGATAAGTCTGCTGCGTGAAGTATTTAATCCTGAACAAGAAAGTTAAGACTTATGATAATTTGTGACTCATTCCCTCATCTGCCATTAGGTTTCCACTCCAACATCCGCTCCCGAAGACCCCTGAAGATCCCTGAAAACTTAAAGTTTTCTCTGAAAGCCTTCACCCTCAGGGAATCCTGCTTAAGAACACCAATTTTGCAGCGCAACTCTCAGCAAGTGAAACCACCAGACAGTATAGGGCCGTGTAGGGCTGGAAAAGAAGGACAATTCTTTATACAGTTTAATGTGCAGTGAAATAAGGGTGAGGCAAGACATGCCCACAGGAAGATGATTTCAACGGATATGAAAAAATGAAATGGATTATTAGAAAGGAGGGACTGTGAGTATTTGCTCCAGCAGGAAAATAGTCTACAGTGGAAATTAATGCATTTAAGGGACAGTAAAAGGCCAAACAATGGGACCCCTGTAGAGAATATGGAATTTTTTAAGAAACCATCTTTTTCAATTGGTCAATAGGTTGCTAAAAGCAAAATTGCTGTCCTCTAAAATGTTATAGGTATCTAACACAAATACTTTGCACTATAAAAAGAACATATTTTATGAAATCATGTTTCAAAGCAATTGCTATATATCATATTAACTTTCCAGGGATACCATCTGATTTTACTGCTGCAATTTTATAACTACTTTGAAAAAAATGGCTTTGATAAAAATACATAGTTGTGGATGCACAAGCAAGACTTTGAGTCCATTTTAGCTTTCTCAAAGAAAATACTACTAACTTCATTTTTGTAGTTTATTTAATCTCAGTTAAACTTAAGAGCACACATTATTCTGTTGTTCTGTTTTACCAGGTCAGTTGGGTGTAACTTCAGATTCTATTTTCTGTGTGTAGGAATATTTTAAAAATGCCTACCTCCTTCTCAGTTCCCTTGTTGAAAAACGGTGATTACACAGGCAGCAGGAACAGGATTTTGCATACTTTTAGCATCTCTAAACCTGCAATTCAGGTTCATATAAATACCTCTCTATATAAAAACAGTGTATGTTACACTAGCTGTGAGGAGGCCTCTGATCTTCTGAGGAACATAGCCTTTTCTGCACAGAGGAAAGCAGAACAACCATAGCTCAGGATGAAATAACCAGGGCTCACGAGAAACTACTACTCCACTGGTCATGTGCCAATAGATGACAACCTGCAAACACTTGCAGTGACACAGAGGCTGGAGCCAGTTGATAGTGATTGACAGAAGGAAGACATGATGTTACAGTCTCCCCCCTTGTTAGGTACTACAGAGTTATTTACAGTTATAAAATGCTAACTGGGCTGATGGGTGAGTGCAAGGGCTAACAGTTCTAGTGGAAACAGAAAGCAGTTTTTAAAAGGGCTGCAGCACTGCATCTGTTGCATCTGAAACTGGAACTGCTTTTCAGCATTAAATGTCAAGCTGAACGTTGCACTGTGTACTTTTATAAGCACTTGTATGTTTTTCCTAAGTTTCCCAGAAGGCAAATGTATTTCAGAGTCCCTGTGGGAGGACAACTACTGTTCAAAGAGTGACCTTCATGGATCTTGGAAATACCCCTTGCAACAGCCTTTCTGGTCACAAAACTCACTGTAGATCTCTGCATTGCACTGGCAGCACTCTTCAGCCATGGGCTATCCTGAAGCGCATAGTTTCACTCACAAAACAAGTGAGAACAAGAGGAGGAGAAGAGAAGGAGAAGTGTGCTTGAGCTCTAGCTGTCCCAAATCCAAGCTTAACTCCATCTTTCATCCTTGCTATTAGCATAAAGTAGAGACAAACACCACCCACAGAGTTTAGAAAAAGAAGTTCTCCCTTTTCCATGCATATTTGCACTCACTCCATGGGCTTTATGCTGTTCAGCAGTAATGTTGAAACTCCTGTTTACCCCAATCTCAGTTCCATCCCATACGCCTCTTTATACCAAGGAACCATCACTTTTTGTTTCTGATCCGGTTTTAGAACTTAATATTCATAACTGTATTTTACTTTCGCTAACCCTATAGCTAACTTTGTAGCTGTTGTGTCGTACAAGCAGAAAAATATGTCAAGTAAGACAAACTTCTCTAATTTTAAACCCAAATCTAAATCTATGCCAAATGTGCCCACAACAAGTTTAATTTTGTCTTTCATTTAGCTTGCACTCCTCCTATTTTACTGGAAGTTATTACACTACCTTCCCTTAGCTGTATTAGCCTTCCTTGTAGATTTGTAGGGTCCATGAATCCCAATGCCAGAACTATGCTGTAGGTCAAAAGATGCCACACCATACACATAACTTTACATATAGAACTTACTCTGATGTTCAGAAATAAACAGAGCTATTAAACCCCTTCCCTTATTTGACTTAACTAGTCTAACCTGCCATCAATATGCTCCTGAGAAAAAGTTATTGATGTATTTCTGCCAAGCCCACCTCTCTATTTTTAATTGCAAACCTTGAAGTTCCTAGGAAATAACCTAATTATTATTTCTGTCATATTCTGAGCCTTACTTAAGATGAATATAAGCCTTAATCTATATTAGAGATTAGAAAGTGCTATTTGCCTTTGAAAATTAACATAAACCATTACCGTACAGAGTTATACAATACTGCTCTGGGAAAATGCATGTGTATCTTTCTGAAATGTCAGAAGTGAAGAAAGCAAGAGAGTATCTGGCTAGCATCCTGCTAACTACAAAAATGTTTTTTTACTGTGATTAAACAGGATGCACATGAAGCAGAGTGAAACAGAATGTATCAGGAAAGAATGCAATGAATGAGTACTAAAATACTTGAAAATGCTTGTTTCCAAATAAACTGTATCATGTGTAGTATATTAATTAAGGGTCTTTTTCAACCGTAAGTTAAAAATTTGTTTTTACAAAACTTCTGTATTTGTCCTTGTAGACTGTCTTTACACAATACTATTGTGATTAGCATGCAATATTGCCACTGATTTTATTATTCAGCTCCTTAAGCAGTCTCCCACACTGTATACAAAGCAATGGAATCATAGGAAGTCAAATAAAGTTCAGCAGCATTGCCATACCACACAAGCTGCAGGAGTGGCAGATCAAAGTGCAACAGGAGTTATTTCTGGGAAATTACACCATGACAAAGCTAGTAACTGGCAAAGTGTGATGTAGCAGAAAAAATCAGAATTCATGGCAAAGGGCTGAATTCCCAGCTGTTGTCAGAGCACGTTTTATATTTTCTGGTTTCTTTTTTTCCCCCCTATTCATGCACTTACTCTTTAATGGGTTTTTTTAAACACAGAGATGGCTAATAGGAAATAGGAAAATAAAAAGTAGAAAGGACCTCTTAAATCATTTGGCCCTTTTCCTTACAATTACAGGAAGCAATGAATAGATATGAAGAGCAGAAAGCACTTCACTCTCATAGATGGTTTTCTGCACACCCTAAAACACTTATCATCATCTAAAACTTTTGATCCTTTGAACAAAAGACTCAAAACTTCAAAAACTACAGCGATCTACAGCAAGAGAATTTGACTGACAAACTTAAAACCCTAGAAGACAGGAGGCAGAGCTGCTTCTCCAAGGAGGAAAAAGCGAACTGTAGGGCATGCAGTTGGGGGAAACACAGTCTGGCCAAGGAACTCAACACAAGCAGTGGTGCAGGCACTGAAAAGATTGAGCTGTAACCATGCTAGCATTTTGTTAAAAAAAAAAAAAAAAAGGTAGAAATTACCCTAATCATTAAAATCAGAAGGTTTTGAAAATTTATTGATTTCAACATCAATTGCTGTAGAAATGTGTCTTTTCAGCAAAACATCATTTTAGTCTGAAGCAGCAACACTCCACCTCAGGAGAAAGGCTGCTGGGCTTTCATTGCTAGTTAGCAGTATGCAATAATTTTTAAAAGTATTTAGTAGTGCAATGATTATGTTATACATCATTAATATTAGGTTGTCATTACTGACAAGATATGGAACAAAACAAAATATTTTACAAAATAAAAATCCCATAATGTAAATTCCAAAATTCCAAATCCTAATCGCACAGACACAACTGAGCAGGGTGGCTGCAACTTGATACCAAACAGTACCTCCACAGCAGACTGAGATTCTAGCTCTGTCATGCGATGTATCCACAGACTGAAGACACATGTGGGTAGGAAAAAAGCATTTTAGTATCTATTTGATCTTTCTCACCTGAGACAGATATAAATCCCAATCTCAGCATGGAGTAAGTACTGTTATCTTTGCAGAATGTACTATCAAATGCTGTTGAGGGCATACACATTCAGGACAAACTTGACAGGGAACAATCTGCCTTTCTAAAATATTATGTTTTTAAAGTAACATAAAATTTGGTCTCAGCTTAAGGTTCAAATACAGATGCTCTCATGTCAGGGAGAACCAGAGCATAAATTGAATGATGTTTCTGTTGTGGCTAATTACTTGTGTGGTGGACTGCCTAAACTTTTCTAATTGATGGTTTTCTT